ATGTTGTTGGTGGTATTTGCAGATTCTGAATAATCGGTGTTGCATAGATTTTATCTTTGTAATTGGTTCAAAGTGAATTTTGTTGTCTTTCTTGTTGTACTATGTTTTTCTTATTGAGTGCCTTGATCCGTTGTATTTCACATATTTTTTTATTCTGGATATTATTATAATATCATTGTTATAAAGTATGTTATTCATACTATATTTTGGCCGCAAAATTATTACAATTTTCTTGCCTACTCAATAAGTGTGGTTTAACCATCCTTACAAATTACATGTGAGTATTGATTTAGCCGGGTTTTGTTTCTTCTCTCAATCATACGGCTGTTGTTCTCGTGTTGTTTAGAGAGAATTTTAGCTTGATTATATATTTTTCTAGAAATCAACTTTTCAATTTGTTACGGTAATGATATTTGGTACTTGATTGTGAACTTTGTAAAGCAAATGATTTGCACTAATAGAAGCACACTTCAATGTACCCCGATTTGCTTTATAAAAATAATACATGAAGGTTTAGATCTGCTAGCATTTTCATTACCAACATTTATTTGTACATGTGTATATCCCTTTTTTCTGTCACTCCTCCCCCAACCCCCCCCCCCCCCTCCCCTCTCTCTCTTTCTCTCTCTCTCTCTCTCTCTGTATAACTCTCTCCCTCATTATTGTCACTGTTTTTCTCCTTCTTTCTTGCTTTTTCTCTATTTGTCTCCCTTTCTCTCTCTCTCTCTCTCTCCCTCTCCCATCTTTTTCTCTCTCACCCCTCTCTCTTTCTCTATCTGTCTATCTCTCTCCCTCATTTATGTCGCTCTCTTTCTCCTTCTCCCCTCTATTTCTCCTTCTCCCCTCTATTTCTCCTTCTTCCCTCTCTTTCTCTTTCTCCCTCTTTTCCTCCTTCTCCCTCTCTAGTTTTCTATTTGTCTTCCTCCTGCCCTCCCTCTCTCTCACTCTCTTTCTCCCTTTCTGTAATCATGTTTGATGACATGCATTACAACCCACTCTATTTAACTAACATGTGCATGTCCCTGATTTGTGAAGGAAAAAAAATGTGAGTTTTGGTCGTGTATGTTTGTTCTCTGAAAGTACATTGTAAATACGTCAAAACTGAGCAAACACAGGGTATTCAAATACATGTAGTATCTCCAACTGCATTTTCTACATGATCTTATGGACTTTTTAACAATGACTTTGTACTATTTCTACTTCTGCCTATTCAGTTACACTTCCCATCATTTTGTATTACGTGTAATGTAGTTTCAAATGTACTGAGTTTTCATGATGTATTGATATTTCATTCAGTGAAGGATTTGATTAAATCAAGTAGCATGTTGTACATGTATATATATAAATAAAATCAATAAGATTAATTGGAATAATATTACCTGTAGGTGTGAAACACTGTAAGATAATGAAGTTAGTATAAATGAAGAAGAATTGATATGCCTTTAAACACATATATTTCATATGACAATTGTTGATATTTAGTGTATGATAAAGAAATTAAAATCTGGATCTTTGCTACACACATGTACAGTAAATGTTTGATTGATAAGCAAATTTTTTTTTGGAGGGGGGAGGAGAGGGCTTCGGAGGAACAATTTCTGTTTTTCATAGAAGGTAAATACTATGACTGTCTTGGTATGACTAAACTCTGTATCAGGTCACATGTTAACAATATAATATGTGCCAGAATGAGTGAATATTTCACTCACTTTCATCTTACCATGAATATTTTCTTTAAAATTACAAATTGTCAAGAGAATCTGTGAGCACTAAGTCAACTTGAATTCTTCTGGTGTAAAGAATGAATATTTATCAGCAATATACTTTTGTGTGTGACATATTCTAGTACTACCACTGTACATGTACATGTGTATCTGTGTTTGCAAAGGATTTATTCTCTGTCAAGGGCAACATTTTCTATTCCATAATTTGCACAACAGGATACTTAGCTCATTCAAGATGGACATTTGTTAAAGCCCAAGTCCACTCCAAAAATAACTTACTTTCAATAGAACCAGAAAAATCAGACAAACCAATCAAAAAAAGTCTGAACAAAATCGGATAACTAATAAGAAAGTTATGAATTTTTAATGACATGAAAAACTTTGAAAATCACTACAAAAATTGGCAAATTACTCATGAGTCTGTGACGTATGGTCCTCACTATCCACTAATTATTTTCTGTATATTGATGATATAAATTTCCTATTTCACCCTAAGAATATTATTTCTTCACACCAGCATCCAAGTTAGATTGATAGTAACAGGTTTTTGTGTGGATGCACAAATAAAGAGTAATTTGTGTCCAGTTAAATCATGAAAAAATGAATTTTGATAAACTATTTATATAAAAATCAATAATTATGAAATACAGTATTCAGAAAATAGTATCACTTCTTCAAAATTCATAAAAGTTTTTGGGAAATGTCATGCACGCAATAGGATACAAATCATATAACCTGGGCAAAGGCATGGGGAAATCTAGTTTTGGGGGATAAAAAGGGAAATTAATGGGATTAAACTATATAAAGCAATTGATAAGTTGTGAGGACATGACGTCACAAACTGATAACCATCTTGGCAATTTGTGTTGCGATTCTAATTGTTCCATAGTTTTACATACTTTTTCTAAAATTCATAACTTTCTTATTAGTTATCCGATTTTGCTCAAACTTTTTTTGATTGGTTTGTCTGATTTTTCTGCTTTTATTGAAAATAAGTTATTTTTGGAGTGGACTTGCCCTTTAATGGCTGAATTGATTAGTTTTCTTCAAATTGGCAACTGTTGTAATCGATTGTATTGTGACAATCTTCTAATGATAAAAATGTTGTATCAAGAAAGAAATGGATATAAATTATGTCACAATAAAAAGAAAAGTACCTGCCTAATATTGTCTGTAAGGTAATTACATTGATTTTGAACTTTGTATCAATTGTGTTGCCATTTTAGAGATCTTAAAATTATTTTGTGTTTAAAGTATTTAAAAATTCTTGGCATCAAATGACTTGTTAGCACACATGCACACGTACCCACCTGCAAAGAAGCCACGGGTCGTGCATAAAATCTGCTCAAGGATCAGGAGACTGTTTCATAAAACTTGTTACCAATAACAAATGATTAAATTCGGTGACAAATTAGCACCTCCGGCCAATCAGATGCCACGATTTCAGTATCTTATAACAGTTATTGTAACTTGTTATTAATAAAAAGTTCTGATGAAACAGGGCCCTGGCTTGTGTATTTTATAGAACTTTGAATCAATAGTTACTGAGGCAGTTACCACATGAATGTCATTTGGTAATTTGTTTTTAACGGGTTATAAGTATGCTTTTATGTGTTCTGTTCCTCTATGAGACGCTACCGGTTTACAACTTTGAATTCTTCCATCATGGTTTCAGGATTTTTACACTGCTCGATGATTGATTATAATAAAAATGGAGATTACTTGAAATACATTGATTAATTATAATTATATACCTATGTACATGTTTTCTTCATTTTAGTTCACCTTATGGTGCCGTCTTTCTATTTTTTTTGTTTTTTGATTTACCCCATGCATGTAATTTACACAAAGTATCAAAGATGATTATGGTGTGATGTGTTGTGCTGAGAGTAGACAAGATAAGATCAAATTGATATAAAATCTTTTTTAATGCGTACATAGATAGAAATATAAAAAAATCATTAATGCATTGCAGCCTCACAATCATTTATGTTTCAAACACAATGGCTACTACTTTTGAAAAATCAACTTATTGAAATGTGCAAACACTACATGATTTCTCTGGGGCATACGATAGGGTATTGAAATCGCCCTTTAGTCGATTTATCAAAAATAGTTGCGATCTTAATATCTAAGCAAATTAAGATGACAGGATAAGTAAAGCAATATAATATTTATTTTACTGATTGTATTAAAGTACAATATAAAACGGACCAAGTACAATGGTTTTGTAAAATCATTCAATATGTGCATTATATTTTCATCTAAATATATTTTTGATTTGAGAGTTCAAACCTTAACAGTACAAACGGTATAAACATTACCTAAACATTTATTATATATTTCCCAAGAAGAGACATAATTATTCCTCTATCCATTTATAGTCCTTAACCCGTCATGGTTGCATGTTTCAGATTTTCAAGTTACACATGTACAGGCAGGCCTGCACTTTAAAAACGGAGTTTAATTGCATCTGTGTAATTTGTTAAATGAAAACGAATTTTCCATGAAACATCTATAATGAGGTGTAGATATATATATATATATATATATATATATATATATATGACGTCAGACTGTCTTTCGTAGACAACAGAAAATGATAATTTTAAAGTATACCAATCTCCCAAACATGTTTTGCTCTTGATGTGATGGGTTCCATGTAGCTATACTGTATTCAATATATATATATATATATATATATATATATATATATCTATATATATGAGCTTCAATTATTACTTCTACAAACAGAAATTGTAATCTAAATACATTCCCACCTAAAGTATTCCAGGTAAAGTTTACTTTGCGTTGGTTTTTATTAAATCTAGATATACACAAATATTTCCCTTTTTCAGATGATTGGTACACAATAAGTATATATATAATTATATAATTATATAATTATACAACATATCAAATTTTCCTTTGTATCTCTTTCATGAATCATAATATGCAGAGACGAAATATATATAAATCCTATCTAAGTGAATTCACTAATGTTGAGACTTTGAGTATGATCTTTTGTGAAGGCCCCGCCAAAATACTTCCTTTAATAAATTGATCACGTTATATTCAAGGTAAAATACATGAAGCTATCTATAATGGGGGAAATAGGAGCTTATGAAGATAGGATGTTGCAATGCAGTGCACAACTTTACAGTAGGTACTCGAGTAGTCATATTTGCGATCATTGCAGTAACTTGATTTTTAAAAGAACTTCCAATACATGGGTTGAATAATTGTTTTGATCATAAAAACAGCTTGAAAGTTCACTTAAATAACGGGAGTAATCGGCTTCCCATCACTCTTTTTACAAAAAGAAGACAACTTGCCGTGATTTTTTTCTGGTCCAATCGTGCGGCAAAGCGATATGAAGAAGAAAGTTCCAGTCGCCCAACTACACACCATGATGATCTGGAGAGCGATGCCGAGCTGGGTAAAGATGATGACATCGGCTGGGAGCATGAGAGACCCGGCGACGAAGCTGGATAACGCCGCCATCGAGTTGGCGCGCGAGATAGTCGAGATGGAGTAGTGGCTCCGAGACCGACGATCGGTGTCGGGGCCGTGAAGATACGCGACGCCGTAATGCAACGTGAAGTCTACCGTCAGACCGACGATCAGTGCCATCATCGACGATTCGAAGACGTTAAGCTCCCAGCCGGCGAAGACCAGAGCCGCCAATGCCGTGATCACCGCGCCTCCGATCGACAGGATAATCAGGAGCACCATGATGATGTTGCGGCTGGTTAGGAGGACAACACCTGCAGCAATGGCGATGGACAAGGCCAGGGAAGTCCGGGCTCCTCTTGCGAAGCCTAGGGTGTTGTCAAGAAAGTAAGGTTGTTTGTCACTGAAGGTCACAAACCAACCCTTTCGGAGTCCTTCCGGGGCAGATTGCATTTGGTCATTGACCCAGGATGAAGCATTGTTCCAAAACTCATTCGTCTCTTGAAACTCGAATCTTTCAAGAACGGAACTTTCGAATTGCACATAAAGGGCACTTATCGAGTTGTTAGGGCCGAAGCGCGGACCAGGAATTGGCGAATTACAGGGATACCTCTTGCAACGATCTGCTATAAATAGCGGTAGACATTCATCGAAGAGAACTGATGGCAAAGGAAAGGTGTCTTGATTACAGCATCTATCTATCTGATCCCCTTCAATTGCAGGTTGTACACAAGGTTGTTGCATGAATTGCCCAAAGGATTCAATAAAGCAGTCTTCGGTGATCATCGTCGGTCTTTGATAGAAGCCCTGTCGACGCATCTCCTGGCAAAAGTTTAATAGCCACTGTTGACTGTCTTGGCTTGACAGGTTCAATGGTGCTTCTAAGAGAACATGACCCCTGTCGTCGGGGTCCCAATGATCCCCGTTGTCTAACGGAATGATTCCCCAAACTACAATGATCGGGAGCTGAGAAACGCTTGCATTTTCAAAGTCGAATTTCCACTTAAGAACTTGATCGTACCTTTCGATGGGATGCGCTGGTTTATAGAGCATTATATCACCACCAGATGGTAGAGATAGCCCTGGCTTGAAGAAAACAACAACTAACGACCCAATAAAGAGAATGGGAAACAAAATCAGCCAGACGAAACGAAATCTTAGAACAAACTTCGGTAGATGAACCCTAAAGAAAGAATGAATGATATCACCCAATTTTCTCTTTGTCTTTGCGAAGAAAACTTTATGCTTTGCAGAAGAGGGTTCGGACGTCACCTTTCTCCTGTGGATATACTTCTCTGATATCATGACTGCAGGTGGAAGCCAGATGATCGTAAGACAAAAGTTTGCTAAGATCACCATTCCGGAGTAGATGGAGAAGAGACGAACAGTTGTAACATCACTGAAGGCGGTCACAAAAAGCGCAGCGGCATTGGTGAAACTCGTGACGAACATGGTGAGTGTGGCCTCCTTGAGAGTTGTCCTCAAGTCGTTCACTCGAGACTGGTCTGTGGATAGTTTTAGATTCTTCCTCCAGATGTCCATGAATATGAAGGCATCATCTGCACCTACAGCTATCACAAGGATCACCGCCAGGAGCGACATGAACGGGAAGAACGCGAAGCGAAACACAACAAAATGGAAGAAGTATCCGAGCATCAGCGACAGTGCCATCTGCAACAGGACCAGGATGGCTGTGAGCAGAGACTCCATGTAGATCCAGATGATGGCCACAATGACGGCACATCCTATGCCGACGTAGAGGAAGTCTCCTCGGAGTGCATTGGAGTAGGTGCTTAACTTGACCTTCCGGGTATCCACTCCGATGCCTATAACCATGGTAACCCCATCATCCAGAGATTGGTGGTAGATGTTTTCCAGGTAGATCATCTTCAGTGCGTCTGCATCATCACTCAAAGGATACAGGTGAAGGTTTAGGGTTAACTCGGCATCACCGGTGTTCAGAGACGATGAGAATGATCCAGGAGTCAGAGCATAGAAGATAAAGTACACCGCATCATCATATCCGATGCATTCAACAGGTACCCGCGATGAGCAATTCTGTTCTTCACTGCACCCGGGTTGCAGATCGCCGGAACTGTAAAAGGGTGCGCAGTGCTGAAGGAGAGCCATCATGCGATCAACGTCATCACCCGTGATGCCAAAGCAGGAAACCCTGTTGTTCATAGTCACGATGTAGTTGGCGAGAGACCATGTGGCACAGCAGGAACCCGATGCGTCTTTCTTACAAGCTGTTTGAAAGTGGGACGTGTTGCGAACGATAACGTCATCATGACGACACATTGAAATCAGGTGCTCCCGTGTGAGAAGGTTGGGGTTAGATGGTGATGAAGACTCGCAAACCATTCGAAATCCACTGAAATCTACGTTCATAAGAAATTAGAGGAAATGGGGATGGAAATTAAAAAAAAGCAATAGATAGATAAATAGAGTGAGGGGAGAGAGAGAGGGGTGGGTAAGAGAAGGCGATGAAAGACGAAAAACAATCGATGATAATGGTATGGAAATCCTCGTCCTTGCCACAAAAGAATTTAGATTAAATTACCCAAACATCGGCACATACTCAAAATATGATACTAATAACTAAACATTTATTAGCTTCTCGTCTTTGTATTTTCGATTTACCTATTGACACGTTTCTGTATTTCACTACTGAATTTTCCATCATCTATAACACTTTTTTCACTTTCTTTAATTATAGGTCATTTTTTGTTGTTGCACTTTTGCTATTACGTGATGGATGTCACCTTTCCACTATATTTGTATTTCTTTTGTAAAATTGGTGTGAGGAATTGATTCAAATTCCAATCAAAAGTCATTCTCCAAAGCACGATCAGAAGAAAATTGTTGATTCGTGTTGGCCTGTTCCTTCCACATTCATTTCAATGCAAGCATTACAAAGAACATGTTACGGTACATTAAATTACGATGTTATATTTGTACCAATACCTGGAGTGCCACAAAAGTTAATAGTGCCTTCTGGTTGTGTGATGTCTTCGACGGATTGTGTTGATGACTGATCATCGAGTTCATCCACGGATGCGATGTCGACTCCGTTTGGTAAGACAGAAAAGAGTTCTTCCTCTCTCAGAAGATTCTCAAACGCGATGAGGCGATCGTGGATAGGGGTTCCTCTGGCTTCAACGCCCTATGAAGAAGAAAACAAGAAATAGTGGTGTAGCCAGTCATATGGAGAAAAACTACGGGGTGGGGTGTAGGGGGTGGGAGGGACGGGGGAGAGAGAGAGAGAGGGAGAGAGAGAGAGAGAGAGAGAGAGTCGTATAACGGGAGAAGGGAGAGGATGCTACAACCCCTAGCTCTCAAACCCACTAAAAGTGGTCTTGCCTGTCAATTTGCCTTTCATATATCGAGGAAAACCGGGGCCGCCCCGCCGCCACCCCTACCCCATGGCGATGCACCCTCTTTATTCCTAGACCTTTACCATGTCACAATCATTAAGCAAAGATTCGAGTAGGCGAAAATTGATTGTGATTAAATTATTTCCAGTTTTGCCTATGAAAACATCTATTTGTCGACTTGTACATTGAAATCCATATCTATATATTGCCCACCAATAAAAAAAAATGAAATAAAAAAATATGCAAGCTCAGCCTATCCTTTTATCGCCGGCATGAGCAATAGTGTTGGGTAAATATCATTTTCATACTGTCATAAAATCATAACGTAATTAATATTAATATTCTAATACCTTTGATGCATCATCAAAAGCAGGCGAACCATATAAAGAGACAACCGTAGCACCCATTAATATGAGCAGCACGAACTCAATGACACAGACTGTCACGGGAAAGCTCCAAAAACACTTGGCCAATCTGAAATGAAACATGAAGAATAGGACAGAAGAATGGAAGATGTGATGACACTTCATTTCTACTATTGAATTGAAATGAATTCATTTCCACATTTGCATTAAAAATACAGAAACACAGTTATATACAAAAGAAAAAGTAAACAAACATCAAATACATGCAAATTAAGAAGATAAAAGGGCAAATTTACACGACTTAAAAAACATACAATGTAAATGTGGGGGGATCCAACTATGATTCCGTACTGTTTACAAGCATTTATAGCAGTTTAAAGACAGCATAAAGCACACCAAACAACGATACAAGATATCGATATTAATAAAAGGCAAGAATGTTATTGCACTTATACAGATAGTGACATAAAAACTCAGATGTTCTTCCTATTTAAGTCTTTTTCTCTTGCGTATTCACACAATTTGATTCCTTGGTTTTGTTGCTTCCCCAACAAGCCAACTTTTCTCCCCTCGAAATGTGTTCAGAGAAATAATACTTCAACAAAGTATACAGGCATCAGTCAGTCACTCTATCACTCCCTCGCTCACTCAATATCACCCACTCATGCACTCACTCACTCAATCAATCAATCGATCAGTCAATAATTTAATCAATCTCTCAATCTCGTATAACCACTCACTCAATCACTCAATTAGTAAATCAATCACCTAATCAATCAATTAATCAATGACCCACTCACTCAATCAATCAATCAATGACCCAATCAGGCAATCAATCAGTCATCCACTCACTCACTCACCCACTCATGCACTCACTCACTCACTCACTCAATCAATCGATCAGTCAATAATTTTAATCAATCTCTCAATCTCGTATAATCACTCACTCAATCACTTTATAAGTAAATCAATCACTTAATCAATCAATAACAACCAATCATTCACTCACTCACTCAATCAATCAATCAATCAATGACCCAATCAGTCAATCAATCAGTCACCTACTCACTCACTCACTCAATCAATCAATCACTACCTTACTCAATCAATCAATCAATCAATCGATCAATCAATAATTTAATCAATCTCTCTATCGTGTATAACACTCACTCAATCACTCAATTAGTAAATCAATCCCTCACTCACTCACTTAATCAATCAATGACCCAATCAGTCAATTAATCAGTCACCCACTCATTCACTCAATCACTCAATCAAACACTCCCTTACTCAATCAATCAATCTATCAATCGATAATTTAATCAATCTCTCTATCGCGTATAATCACTCACGCAATCAATCAATCAATCAATGGCCCAATCAATCAATCAATCAGGCAATACATGATAATAATAATTGGATGATATATAGCGTCTTTTCCAAAGGATACAAGGCGCTGTCTCTTAGACTATCAACCATTTAAGAGGAGTTGTACATATCAGTTGTTTTTTGAAGAAATCTAGTAAAATACAGTTTCTGAAGAACGAGGAAAGTGATACAATATTCGGGGTAACAATGAGATAATACCACATCACAACAATATTGTACCAATTCAATACTTTGGAATATATTTGTTTTTATAATTAAGAACATCAATATTTTCCCCATGCATAGTGATATAGTTTTCAGAATAACACCCGTGTCATCTATACAGCTGAAAAAATTCCTTACATTTCGATAAGTTCTAAAACAGAAGTTACTTTGAAATTTCTGTGGTCGAATACTGAGTTACAACATAACAAAACTTTACTTGTGTAATAACTCCCCTTTCCAAATAATTTTCATCTCTTTTTTTTTAATTTACGTAGCCCCTATTAATTTAATGAGAGAAAAAGAGAAATAGTTACATGGTTTCCCTAATTTGTATAACTATTTTCAGAACTACATAGCCTGTGTAATGTAAATATGGTATGTTTAGTAAAATAAGATGTAACTATATATTACAATTTCTCTTTACCCCCTAGTTTCCCTGATTATAAGCATGTTAAGTTTGGTTAAAGAGAATGTTGGTTACTGAATTGTACACAAACAGCTGCGATGGCCGAGTGGTTAAGGCGTTGGACTTGAAATCCAATGGGATCTTCCCGCGTAGGTTCGAACCCTACTCGCAGCGTATTAAATGTGGTTTCCTTTTACTTTTTATCTCTGTCAATGTCATTTTGACAAATATTTCGTTATACGATGACTGCTAAGTATGCTATTGTAAGATAAACAGTATTGGGATGTGATAATTCCATTGTAATTTGATTACCATAAATTCATTAGGGTTTTGTTGTTCGAATGATTTACAAAACCTTTGGTATGTGTCATTAAAAAAAAAATCCAATGTAACATTAAGTTGACAGTGCAGTACAGGCTCATTTGATGCAATATGTTGTGTTAATTTCTTTAGTAATGTTAGTAATGTTTGATCTTCTTGGTGATTGAAGTTACGTTAATTTGTTCAGTTATGTTAGTAATATTTTATTTTCTTGGTAATTTAAGTAATGTTAATTTCATTAATAGTATTGATTTTTCTTGAAGTAATCTTGATTTATGTACAGCGCTTTGAAACTTTTATGTCACAAGCGCTATATGAATTGTTCGTATTATTATTATTATTATTATTATTATTATTATTATTATTATTATTATTATTATTATTATTATTATTATTATTATTATTATTATTATTATTCCAACTTACATGCCGAAGAAGGTGTTGTTCCTTTTAGGTAGCCCGCTTTCGTCCTCGTCACTTAAGCCATCCCGCCATTGTGATATAACAGAGGGAGGGGAAGGTGGAGGGATTGAAGTAACCACGATTGATGAAGCTTGATTCGGCATGTTAATGGAGTCTTCTGTGACACCTTAGCAGAAGAAGTACTAAAGTATAATGATAATAAAGTCAATTTTATATAGCGCATAATAATACATTCTCTATGCGCCTTATAAACAGTCAGTTACACAATATATTACATGATTAATCTAAAGATTTAAATATGCATGAATTAACATAAATATATATCGTATATAATGATGAAAAAAATCAGATATAATATAAATGGTATAATCTTATGAGCACAATTATAATAGTTAAATAATTACGATCTTATTGTAGTCAGGAAATAACATTACTTGACGTAAACGAGTCATATAATTAACAGACTATTGAACGAACATAAATGTCTTCAGAAGTGATTTGATATGGAAGTACTCACAATCCCAAAGTCTTGGAAATTGAATGGCACTGATGGTGTCGACTCAAGCCACGGTATGAACATTTAAAGAAATTGGTAGCTATATCAAGCAGAGCGTTCCATTTCGCCTTAGCAATCCCGCTCTGAGCGTTACACCTTAGCAGAAGAAGTACTCACAATCCAAAAGTCTCGGAAATGAAATGGCGCTGGTGTCGTTTCAAGCCACGGTATGTTTATCTGAAGAAGTTGGTAGCTATATAGCAAGCAGAGCGTTTGATTTCGCTTAGCGATCCCGCTCTGATTCTCAAACACTCATATATTTGATTCCAACAAACTATTTTGCTGTGTGGGATAATAGAATAAAAGCATTCATGCTCTTGCAAGGGATTGCTAGTCTGGGGGGTGTTTCACAAAGATCCTAAGTTTAACTTATTCTAAGTTGGACTTAAAAATTATGGAAAGCCATTAGCATCTTTGAGAATATTTTGTAAAAGTTATTTTGAAAGGCATTAATTGTTTATTCAAATCATTCATATTTTCTATCGTCAAGGAGATTTCATGTTCTGGATGTGGAATTTATAAAAAGTCTAAAAATCTTGAATATATTTCATTTTAAGACTCCAACGGCTGTCCATAATTTTTAATTCCAACTTAGAGTTAAGTTCTACTTAGGATCTTTGTGAAACACCCCCCAGATGGCTTAAATATCAGTGAACCAGGAAGCTAATGCTCCATGAATAATTTTGTTTGGCATAATATTAAGACCATTGATCAATATCATGCGTTATTTGATTGCAAACAATACACACTGTCGTTGCCCCCCCCCCCCTCCTCTCTCCCTCTCCCTCTCTCTTTCTTTTTCTCTCTCTCTCTGGTCTTTTCTGCCTCCACCTCCTCTCTCTTTTTACTCTCCTCTCTATTCTCCACTTCTCTCTCTCTCTCTCTCTCCGATCTTTCTGTCCCTCTAATCTTTTATTCTCCTCTCTATTCTCCACTTCTCTCTCTCTCTCCCCCTCTCTCTCCCTCCCTCTCTCCCTCTCTCTCCCTCCTTCAAATAAATTATGTTCCACTTTCTCTTTCTCTCTCCCTCCTTTTCTCCCTCTCTCCCTCTCTCTCTGGTCTTTCTGTCTCCACCTTCTCTTTTCTCTATGTCTGTATGTCTGTCTCTCCCTGTCTCTTTATATAAATATATTTCTTTCTCGCTCCCTTTATTTTAATTTTATTCTTAAGGGTCTATTGTTGTATTCAGTTTCCTTCAAATAAATAACGTTCCACTTTCTCTCTCTCTCTCTCTCTCTCTCTCTCTCTCTCTCTCTCTATGTCTGTCTGTTTGTCTTTCACTCTCTCTCTCTCTCTCTCTCTCTTTATATCAATATATTTCTCTTTCCCCCTCACTTTATTTTACTTTTATCCTGAAGGGTCTATTGTTGTATTCAGTTTCCTTCAAATCAATTACATTCCACTCGAAACTTCAAACTTCAAACTTGAAAAATAGCAACGGTTTCGATCAAAGTAGTGCAGATAAGTGTAAACATAAGATGTCAAGCGAAATGAATGTAGGTCTCAGGTTATTGAATGATCTCTGTTAGGTTCAAGAGCTCCTTTCTCGAACTTTGGACTTTAATACTTGAATTCTTTGTTCATTTTTTTTTCCTGTAATGTCGAGACCCAAGAAACGATTTTCATCAAAAAGGGCTGAACAATGGAGATCTGGTCTGGTCTCGTTTTATCTATATTCAGTCAACGCACGAACTTTGGTGAAAAACTGAAAATATATTGTTTAAATCTGTTAATCTCCATTCTATCCCTCTCTTTCTCACCCTCTCTTGTTTACTCCTTCCTCCCATTTCACATTTTCACTTTTTCTTCTTCATAGAAAAACCTTTCTCCTTTGCGTTATATTCTATTTCACATAATCCTACATCAACTTTTTCATCAACATTTCCCTTGCACATTACAAGTTTTCTTCTTCTCCGTCTTCTTCTCTCTCTCCATCATCATTATCTCTACTTCTGTCTAGCTAAGTCCTCCTTTCTCTTACCCCCACTCTCTCTACCTATCTCTCTCTCTCTCTCTATATATATATATATCAATCACTCAATAACTCAAATCTACATATATCTAATGTATTCATTTATGTAGCTCACTCCCTCTCTCTTCTTCCTTCCGACTTTTCTCTCCACTTTCTCTATCTCCTTGTATTTGATTTCATCTTCATTTCAGTTTCATTTGACACATTCTCCATTTGTAAACCTGCATGTATTATAAATGAAAAATCAGTCTTCATTTCTTTAGGCATATCATATAGATATAATTCTTTTTTGTATTTTTAAACATAAATATATATCTTTGTCTATACATTGAATAATAGAGTAATACTCGTGTGTAACAAGTCAACCGCTTCACCGAGATGACTCTACATGTACATATACATATATAAAATATTAGTATACTAAGGAAGTTTTATGTCTTGATAAATATGAAGTACATGTAGTACATTCTCCACAAATTACTTCAATAGCCCGGATACGTGCACTTAAAAACTACACAAGTCTGTTGATCCTTGAGTGTACTTATTAAGTAAATATATCTGGGCTATTGAAGACATTCATGAAGAATGAACTACGTCACCATGTACTTCATATTTATTCTAGCCCTTGTAAATACAATATGAATATAATAGACCACAACGCCGACTATCCATGAGTGAGTTTTAACTAAAGAAATGTAAAGTTGAATAATACTGACCTACTGTTTGAACAAGACTGTGTCATAAGGTGTTTTTAACCTTATTTTCCTTTTCCTTTTGATTCAAGAATAAAGTTATGGAAAGGAAAACAGAGATGAAGAGGGAAAGAGAGAGGTGTGGGAGAGAGGCAGAGAGATTGAAACAGAGAGAGAGGGGAAGACAGAGAAAGAGACATGCACATACACACAAACACACACAGACAGAGGGGAGAGAGAGACACAGAGAGAGGGAGAGAGAGAGGGAGGGAGGTTTTTTTTTTCATGTGAGTCTATCAACTGCAAAGCATTGAAATATAATTACACAAATTCAATGGCACCAAAAACAAAATATATCAGAATAAAAATAATGGGATTGTCAGTGATGACTAATTGATTGTCAGGTAATACTTGGTTGACTCTTGTAAAATACTCATTAAAGGCATACACATGTTTCATCTACATGTGCGACAGGCTCAATTCACTCCAAGCAGCAAAAAGCATTTGTACAGTAGATCTAACTCAGGGTTAGAGTGTAGCATTGCATTGCTAGTAATAACAGAACAAAGAAATCACTTGGTAGACATGATTATATGCACATTAAAAGATGGCATTTCCATTTGTTTTAAGTCCCAACAATCAATGAATCAAGAAATGTAAATGTACATACAACATTCGCATATTGGATTTCATTTTCTGATAAAAAGTAAAACTCCCAAACTTTTTGTGCAAAACAAATTTGCATTCACCAATGCAACCCCTGTACAAATACCCTTGCAAATGAAACTATTTTTTAGTCAAACATTTTTGTGGTAAAAAAGAAACATGCAATGATTTGCAGCAAAAAAACGTTCATGTTTTTCAACCACTCATGATATTTGCAAACAAATTCTTTTCTTTTTTTTCACTATCAAAATTCATCAGCACCTATGGATCAAGAAAACATGGACAACTGCTTTGATTCATTAAGGATACAGCGAACTCCTTTACCATTTCAATCTTGCCAACTCCCCCACCCCCCCCCCCTCCCCTCTCCCCCGGCCCCCTTCAATCTCTCTACACCCACAATAAAAATTACAGCACAAATTAAATCAAAAAAATAGTATTGCTTCAGCACCAGGGTATTAAGAGGAAGGGAAAATCAGTTGCTTGACACTTGACCTCCATGTAAGTAAGAGTTCAACGACCTCAAAATATAAAATGTTTGACACATATTCACAATATGTTTCCAGGAAAAGTAACATCATTCTGTAGCACTAATGTCACATGAATTTAAAAATCACATGGCTGTTCTAAGAAAGAAAGAAATGTCTGATATTGGCACCAGATTTAAAGAAAGGGAATGAGTTGCTTTACATTTTTTTGCATGCAAGAAGAGTTCGCTAGATTGATCATATTTGGCATGTATTAATAGTCTGTTTCAAGACAATTAAAACTGATCTGTATCACTAATGTAACATAAGGAAATATTACATGGTTGTTCTACTAAAAGATGTATAATCATTGTATACAGGCACCAAATTTATAAAAGGGGAAAACGTTGCTTTAACTAAAGCAAGAGTTCAATTGACTTATTATTATCTTTGCTATACACTCAAGATATGTTCCGAGACAATCAAAGTTGTTCTGCAGAACTAATGTAAACAAGAAAAGAAAAGTGGACAGAACATTGTTGTTCAACTCAACTAAACAAAAGTATTAAATTGAAACCCAGTTCAGAGGAAGAGAACATCAATTTCAATTCACTTATTTTCTTTGGTATTCACAATATTCTTAAAGACAATCAATAAACAGAATAATGCAGCAATGATGTAAAAAAAAAAAAAAAAAAAAAAAAAATGATACAACTGCTCTACTCATCAATAAAAATCTCAATAATGTACTGTTATGGCAATGTCCAATATGAAAATTAATTCTAAGCTGCAATAAACTTATGGCAAACTCAAATTGAAGTACTTTTATGAAAATAAATTGTATAAATTATTCTTTGTCTTAATTTAACAAGCAATAGGCAAGATCCCTGGCTAAAATCTCATTCACACAACAGAGTAATCAGCAAAAAAGAACAAACAAAGAACAACAAAATATAATTATTGTATGCCAATGAATGGGAATTCAATGGGCCTTGCGCTACAAAGGCAGCCATGCTGATTTCAGTCATCAGTTTGTAATGAGATACAGATTTGTGACATGCACTGGGCTCATATAATTGCATTTTGCTGCAGTAGTTTTCTTTTCAGGTGGTTTACTGTGTCATACATGTATCTGTACAAGTCTTCTATTAATCAATTAAATTTCATTTGAAGAAAAAAAATCAAGAATAACAATTTGGTTAGATGCTGCTTATACGTATCTGCTTGCATGGTGATGTAGATATACATGGTGCAGCCGTAAGCCTACTGTATAACAATTTGGTTGTTTTCATTCACTTTGGTCTTGGATCATGGCTCATTGGCTCCATGGGCAAGAATGGAACATACATGTAAACTGTATACAACAAAACATGTGCAGCATCATAAGCGTAGAGTCACATCGAGATCCCAAAAAGGAATATACAATCAAAAATGCAATAGACATGACTTACATGTACAATACTAACAAATATATTATTAAGTATTTTGCAAGTGGTGTCTTTGGCAGACTTACAAAGACAATGAAATGAATATAAAGCTCTTGTACCTATTAATTAAAGCATTTTGTCCGAACTTCATGTACAGTTGTGGCAAAGTCAAGAAGAATCAACATCAAAAAGTAATCTGAACTGTATTTCATATTCCAGGCCAATTGACATTGAGGAAAGCCAAAAGACAAAAGACAAAAGAGAAGTGAAATGAAATATAATTTTGGGGTGGACAATATTTTAAATAGTATTATTAAATCATGAATTTATCGATTTCATTTTTGTTATCTGTACACAAAAAGTGATAATTTGATAATTTGAATTTCAACTTATTCAAGATGCAGGAAGACAAGACAAAAAAAAATGTGTAAGTGTGCACATCAGAAATATGCACGCAAAACAAGCAATATTTACTGTTTTTAATGTTTTGATAATTGCACTCCAACATTCATGCACATACATCATATTTGGTATGAATAACAGGAACACTTGCTTCAACTTTGTTTCATGTGATTTCTAAAAAAAAGGTTACAAATCAAAGACACACAGAGGTTTATAAACCATTCAAAATTATCATGAATCTCTTGTTATGTTAAAATTTCTTATACATACTATTATAAAATTGTATTTATTATGGCTAATCATATACATGTACGAATTCTGAAAATAACTCCTATGGTTCTATCTTTACAAACAAAGTCCAACTGTGATTGCAATTTGTGTCCTAATTTATGTTTCAACTCCTGTCCAAATTTGAATCCAAACATACGTTTAAAGTTGTGTCCAAACGAATATGGGCTAAAGTCAAGATTACCGGTAGGCACTGAGGTACGGTGGTTCATTCATTTAGCTGTCAGGTAGAGGGTTCAAATCTCTGCACAATACAGATGTCCTTAGAAATAAGACATTACATACAGAGTATGTTCTTGGAGATGGCTCAAAGTAATACTACAGCATTTATCATGCGCCATTGGTCTAGTAAACTATTTTGAGTCGCAGAGGGAGATTATAACCCTAGCTTTAGCACAGCTGCCATTGTGGCGCTCTAGCATTTCAAGGAATTAATTCCTGCCAGGTACCCATTTACATCACCATGTCTTGCCAAAGGATATTAGTGATGCGGCAGGAATCGAACCGCACACCTTGTGATCGACAGTCCGGTGACATATCCACTGCACCCCGACACCTCTACATAGTATTGAAATATGACAGCCTTGTATGATGTATTCATCATGTTTTTGCATATTGAATAGTAATAAAATGTCAGAGAGTTTACAGGGATCTTAAACAACCATCAGTACATTTGTATACTTGTATGTCAGCATTAGATTTTTAGTATTTAGGTTAAAGCTCCAGTCCTAGAACCAGTAAACCTTAGGTGAAACTTTAGTTAGATTTTACATTATCCAGCTCTGTGGAAAGTACATGGCGATTGGCTTCCTGGCACTGGGAATCTATGGACACATGCTTATTCTTTTATAGCTTTGTAGATAAAAATATATTCAAGCATATTGTCCACATTGTCAAATAAACAGCGTTCTTCCCAGGATAAAGGATCAAAATGTCAGAGTCTCTGTATTCTCAAGCCAGAAATCTGTCAGCTTACCCTTTACATTCCGACTCATGCTGATCACCTCTCTCATAATACTGTCATACACTTTCTCGTCCCCGCAAGCGCTACAGCGCCATCGCTTGGTCAGCATGTGGTTCATGGACCAGAGGAAACCTACGTTGTCGAACCGGCCATCCACGTGCTTCTCGCGAACCTCCCTGATGCTCCCACTCCGCATCGTCCTCCTCTCTTCCGTGAACGCGACGTCAGGCTCGTCGTCGTCCATGGTGTCGACGATGTCGAAGCTGCTGTCGCGTCCCACCATGATGGGGATGCCGCCGCTGGAATTTCTCCGTCGAGGGGCCTTCACGACCTCGCAGGGTGAACTTCGACCCTGGCCCGTTGGGGTCACGGAGGGGATGACGGGAGTCTCGTCCGGGGAGTTGATGAGAGAGACGAAGCATACTCCTGATTTGTGGATGTATTCCATCTGGTGACCACGCCTACTGGAATGGAAGCCAAACCCGTCAAAGGTGCCACGCCCCTTATCACGTATCAAGGTAAAACCAAACCTGGAAAACAAGAATGAAAATAAGATGTAGTATACAAATAATACACAGCTTTGAGGGCATTAGTAAAAATTACCCACACAAGGCAAATTTGGAAGGTCTCACACGCCCGAGGCGATAGCCGAGGGTGTTTGAACCGTGTCGAAGGTACCCAATGTGGGTAACTTTACTAATGCCTGAACAAAAGGATGTGTAATATTTTTTTAATAAAATGATGTTTTATAACATTATTTTAAAAATGACCAGTCATTCGTTTTTGCTAATGAATGGTCATTAGTAAAATTGCCTGTTAGGCAAATAAATGCCTGGTCACATTGAACACTCTCAACCAATCAAGTGATTAGGATCTGCTTCATCATCTCATCATAATAACTATCTGTATCTTCCATTTATCTAATACAACTGTTCAGTACTTGCAATCTTATCTCAGCAATCTGTTATTTGTGAATGGTTTAGGGATAGGGAAAATTGTCAGGTAAAGTGTTGAAATCCACGATTGAAGTCGGAAATTAGAAAAGCTATAATCAGACTGCAGCATGACAAGTCTACTTCTAAAGAAAAGCATTTGTGAACTCAATTTCCTCCCAGGTACATTGTTAGTCAAATAGTGGGTTAAGAAATCATAAAAAAGAATAATCTGTTCAGAGCCAAAAGAACGTTAAGTCTGCTTAAGAGCACATAAGTTACCCCCCTTCTGGCTCCAAACAGACAATATCTAAATCTCCATAATTTAAAGCCCCACTGTACTACTTGTACCTACTTGCTCCCTCTATGTAGAAAACAATGCCTAAGCAGTGCCCATTGGTCCCCCATGATCCTCTTTTTCTTATGTTAATTGAGAGCTGAGTTGATGAGATAGCCACCTGTCAGTGACCATGCTGGGTGGTCTAATCCTTCCTGGCCCAACTAGTACAGACAGGCTTAAAGTCAAATACCTTGTATATTCCTTATCATGCAAATGACTATTATACTTGCATAACATCCATTCCCCCCCCCCCCATTATATTAACTGTTGCGAAATTTGGAAATCATCTCCAAAAGAGATTGCAAACTCACTTTTTCATGATGAGTTCTTGGAAGAGGTCTATGGCTTTGTTCCCCGGTTCCAGGCCCAACCAGCTTCCACCACCCCCGGCGACGCCCTCCTCATCCAGCATCTCACCACCGATGTGCCTCCGGTTCACGTCGTCCTTGAGGGACTGGATATCGAGGGGTATGAAGAGGGGGCAGCGCAGGGGGTTGGCAAACTCGGGGTGCTGGTGGAAGGGGTCGGTGGGGGCGGGGACGAGGTGGTAGCCGAACGTGTTGGCCTTTCTCGACCAGCCTTGAAGCTGTGGGGCAGAAATGAGACAAGGGGAAGATTGGAATATAAGAATATTTCTATTTTGTCTACCTCTCATTTGATGGTTCTTCTATGGTTTTAAACACAATGATATAGTTTCTCATATATAAATTTTATATTTTTACAATGTGTGACCAAAACAAATTTCCATGTATTCTTGTGAATTTGGATGTATAAAAAGAATTGAATCGAATTGAACAAATTGAAATGAAGAAAACATTTAAAGTACATGAGATTTAATCAATTATTAAATATATTTCAGATTTAGGTAACGAAAAATAGATAAAATTTAGATCATCCCTTACTTACTATCTCATACATTTATAATAATAGATAATCACTTTCAATCAAGCACATGATTGAAAAACTTGACATCATGAAAATGTTGGTGCCAAACTCATACAACAACTGTCAACTAATTGTTTGTTCTCGTAAAGTTTGTATCGTACATTTCACAATAACAGGGATTAGAACTCGAATGCAAAGAAATAAATGTTCATGTTACCACTAGCACACACTGTCCAAACAAAGACTTAGTTTAGACTCTTATGATGCAATAGGATGATCTATACATGTACATACACATAGGTGTTTGGTTACAAATGCTTACCATTTCATTCAAGAGGCTGGGGGTGCAGACTAGCCACTCCACCTGGAGATCGAACGCCCGATCCACACTGTACTGACCATCATAAGTCACATGACACCACTCTACACGGTCCGTCTTATTACAGTCGATCTCCAGCATGACGTTCCTGATCTCTTGGGGCTTAAACGCTGTGAGAAGAGAGAGATGGTAGAAATGCAAGGTCACGGTTTTCTCCATTGGTAACAAGATTCACCTGTAATTCACACCTATTATTTCAAAGGAATTGAGATGTACATTTTTATTTTGTTTACTAACAAAAAAAAGGAGGGACATAAAATGCATTTAGAGTTACTCAGAAATGCATGGGCAATTGAATAGTCAACATGTACACAACACCTCTTTAATACAATTCAAAGCAAATAAGCTATCACCCAACAACAAGTTTACAGCTAAAACTTGTCACAGAAAGTGTTTGAAGAACACCACTACAAGTAATGCAGATGCATCACTGCTTTCCATATACAGTCAAACCTGTCTATAGCGACTGCCCAAGGGAAACACAAAAAGTGGTCCTTGTAGACAGGTGGTCTGTGTAGTCAGGTGGTCACTAAAGCAGGTTTGACTGTATAGTAAGGGAAAGATTATGACCCCTGCCATCTCCAAATTATGCTCTAACCAAAGGACAGTTGTTTTGCAAAGATAGACATGGAAGTTTAACATTTCTGGCTTGTAACTCACCTCGACTACTAGAAGGCGCAGATCCAAAGCCGGGCGTGCTACCCGACATCTCACGCATGCTCCACGGCGATATGGGATGGAAGTCCTTATCTACACCACTGCAAGGCATCTCATTGGCATTCTGTTTCCATGACAACTCCTCCATCACAGCAACCTGGAAGGTACAGTAGAATGACATATGGTGAATAGACGATTACTTGGTGATGGCAGTTCTTGTTAATTGGCATGAAAAAGCCTGCAGGACGTGACACTGCGTGATGTCAGTTGAGCATGAAAAGTAGCATCCTTCCCTTCTTCCCTCCCTTCTTGCATCCTGTCTCCCTCTTTCCTCCTCAGCCCTCCTCACTACTTTCCTCCCCTGGATCCTTCTCTATTTTCCTCCTCTATATTCTTCCTCCCTCCCCCTATCCTCTGCTACTGTACCTCCTCTTTCTTCTCCTCCTCCTTTTTCCTTCCCCTGCTCCTACCTTCTTCTTCCCTCCTTCCTCTTCCTTCTCCTCCTCCCCTCCGTCCTCACCATCACCATCAATAATAATAAGAGTTCGTTCTTATACATCGCTTTCCAGGACCCCAGGCCCTCTCAAAGCGCTTTACAGAGATATCTTATTACCAAAGTTCTTGGGAATCAGGTTTTACCCGCACACAATATATGCACATTCTCCACTCCCTGGGGAGCATTCCAGCCAGGCGGCATTCACCATCACTATCACCATTATCATCATCATCATCACCAGCACAAACACTAGAACTTGCATCACCACCACCATCATTATCATCAAAACCCCATCATCTCCCTCAATATCATTATAATCACCGGCATCCTCACTATCATTATCAATACCAACGACCATCATTAGCACCAAGTCAATTTTGTTGTTAAACAGTGAAACCTGTCTACAAAGACCACCCAAGTGAGACCAGAAAAGTGGTCTTTATAGGCAGGTGGTCTTTATGTACATGTTCCTTTAGTACATGTTTCAATGAGAACCCATTTTCAAGGGAAACAAAAAATGTGGTCTTTGTAGACAGGGGGTCTTTCTATACAGGTTGCCATTCAAGTGGGTCTGACTGTATATACAATACCAACACGAACTACCATTATCAGCACCAAGTCCATCTTGTTCATACCTCAAACCAGTGGCTAGTGAAGTCATTGTTGATGGGAAGCTGAGGGATGTAGTCACACCACAAGTGTGATTTGGTTGCATCCGAAAAGGGAGGTACATTCTCTGGAAGCATCAAGCAGTAGACGTAGAAGCCGTGGAGGAAGGGGATGTGAGGTAAGCCGGATGCATGCTGGATCAACCTGTTATCTGACATGTTCTGAGTAATAAACACAAACGAGAGGCAAAAATAATAGCGCTATCACAGATGAAATCTCATTTTAATATCATCAGTTCTTGCACGGTAATCCACTATTTCATGACTAGCAATTACACATACATGTAGCTAAGATTTAGAGAATTATACTTTGCAAGAATGGTTTTCGCTTTTACATACATGTACATGTATGAACATGCAGTGTGCTAATTTACACTGTTACAGGGGGAGGCCGACCTTCATATGAATTCAGTAATAATAAAAGTGGAAAATAAGAGAAACAGAACAGTGAAAGTTTGAGGAAAGTGGAATAAGGGATAAAGAAAGTTATGAATTTTTAAATTTGTACTCGATGAAATGCAAATTGGCAACTATGTGATTTGCCTCTTTCATTTGTTTTGGATTAAAAATAAAGAATAGATCTATTTAATATTATAGATAAATTTAAGGCACAGGTACTCACCTTCAACAGATCAAAAGCTTCTACATCGGTGACCTCGTCGCTGAATGACCTCTGAACCCAGGTCATAGCCTCACCAGACATGAAGCAGTTTGGGGGGACCCCTTTCTGTCCAGGGGCAATGAACCTCAACCCTTTACTGGAAAAACGTAGAAAGGAAAGAAAAGAAATTGTCATCATTGCTGGTTTTCAATTTATGAACCCATTGCTTACTGGACCCTGGTAGTTCCTGTATAAAAGCCTATGGGTATGAAAGATTCAGTAGTCAATAAGTTAAGTCAACATTTCACTGAGCCTTCATCTTGGCTACGGAAAAGGGCTTCAATCTTATTCAGATCATTATCAAGTAGTGTACTATAGCAAGCAAAGCCTTTTGCCTAAATATTAACATGAGCGTACAAGTCTATGAAATCTGATGCTGGTTTGTGAATATTGGTTTTTGTTTGACCAGCAAAGTAAAGTACTGGCTGCTTTTGTGGGCAGGTACATGTATATGACCTTGGCAGGCATATGACCTCGTGACCTTGGGCTACTCCAATGGTACAACAGCTGAGGGTTATTTGTGTTTCTGTCTGCCGGCTGAAGATGATGTCATTTTATGAGGTCACAATGAGCAACTGATCAAGTCATAATAACTCTTTAAATATTATTTCTTACCTTACAAATGTGGTAAAACTTACTACTCAAAGGTGGAGGACATAAAATATTTGCAAACACTCGCTTCATTTGAGACACCTGCAGAATCTATGGGGTCTCAAATATCGCAAGAGTACCATTTCTTCTGATCTAAGCCCTTCTGGAATACTGTAAACGATGTTATTTTTGCACGATTAATTTTTCGCGTTGAGCAACCCCAAAACATATTCGGGGGTCTACAAATTCACGTTGCACGCAATTCAGCCCGTTCAAAACATGCATAAGAAGTCATGCTTATATTTTTGCGAGTTCTAAAATTTGCTCTTGCCGATCTTAGCGCAAAATCCGTGAAAATTAATGTACCGCAAATATTTCCACGTTTACAGCAGTTGAAACTAAATTGGAACTCAAGTTTCAGATGAGATGTGTACTTGTATACTGACCTTGGATCAGCCATAGCCTTAGCAATGACTTGTAGTGGAGTGCATATTGTAAGGGATTCTTCACTGGTAGTGGCGACAGCAGGTGCATTAGGAGGGTGTGGCGCTGGGCTACCAGTCCCACTAGCATGTCTCTGTCTATCAGGCACCGGGGAGGACCTACTACCAGGGTGTGTCAGGTCCCCTGCGATGGGTGTCTGGCGACCAGAAGAAGCCTATTGATGGTTTTGGATGGTTTCATGGTGATATAGAAAAACTAAATTATGTCACATTAATGATAAATATTAATATTTGTACAGCACGTATACTTGGAAAGCAGTTTTGTTAAACTGAATGTACCTACCCTCTATTTTAAATAAAACTTGAATAAATAAATAATACAATGTTATGATATAACATTCTAATACTCTTCCAAAGTGCCTTGCAATTTCATTTATTACTCTGGTAGATATATCCTCTTCGATATCCACTTTATGTCTTGGTTGTGAGAGACAGTTGTACATAAATGCCAAACCTCCAAACTTTTATATATTCTAACCCCCCCCCCCCAAAAAAAAAAAAAACATTTGTGACACATTTTCTCTGGACTCATAAAAGACTCATCTCAAAAGTTCTGGCATATGATTGACACAAAAGCAGATATATAGTTGTCCCCCATAAATGGTGGCCCAGAAGGAATAAAATTAAAAAAACATACCTTTGGACCTCTTGATGTACTCGTCTGCCTGCGGATACCATTGAGGATCTCAACAAATCTCAGGAACGCATCGGTCTGGTATTGTCTGAAGGCGTGGTCCCTGTCACATGACACTGCCTCTGTCGTGCTGATCCCGTGCTCGTCTGCAAAACGCTTCACCAGCACGGGCGTGTTGGGGATCAGCAAAAAGCGGGACCTCCAGAATTTCAAGGACTGTGAGGAGGAGGCCATATTTGAAGAGGGTTACTGAACAAGTAGAACTTCACACGGTAAAACTTTTAAACTTTTAAGCACACCATAATTATACGAGGAGGAGAAGGCAGTGGAGGTGGTGGAGGAGGAATGGAAAAATTCTGCTTATGTATAGCAAGTATCTTATCCAACATCCCAATACGATCGGGGGGGGGGGGGGGCTTTCAAAATCATTGCTGGCATAGAGGGTCCTGGAGCCCAACCCCAATACACACTGCAAAAAAAACTAAAAAATAAATTTTCAGGGAACCTTTACCTCATATTCAGGCTGTGAGGGTTTAAAAAAATAGAGAGGCGTCAGCCCCCAGGCAAAATAGTAAGCATATGACTTTAAATCTCTACATACTTAATCTATTCTTGTACATTTCAAGACAACTGATACTCAGTAAAACTTACATCTACCAGTGAGAATTCATTGTCGTGCGAAGAGATGTAGTTATCCAGATAGTTCCAGTTGTATCTCTCTATCTCCTCGTGTCTGAATGTGGTCTGAATGGGTGAGTAGCCTTCATTCTGTACGGACCAGAGCTGGTAGGTGTACTGGATGGGTTCACACAGGGACGGATGCCTGCATAGAACACATACAATGTACGGTCATTATGTAATCATTTAATTCTGTACAGATCATTGCTAGTATCAACACAACATAGGTTGCGATAATTGACCAATTTTTTGCCTAGAATCAGCGTTTTCAAATGCCTTTCAGGCAAATTTTTAAGGTGAAAAACGCAAAGCCTTTTTCAAACGTCTTTAGATATGGGCATATTGTAACACAAAAAAAAAAGTGCATTTTGAATGTCACATACAGCCAGAATCACATTTTCGAGACATGGTAAAAGCAAAGCTGTTTTGAACCCCACATACAAATCGGACCTTCCCAGGTTAATTTCCGGTTCAAAGGCTAGCGCCCACCATGTGTTGTGTTATGTTGTTGTACAAGCATGTGTGTGTAGTTGACTTCTGAGAAACTGTCTGAAATGTTTGAATGCTGAAGGAGGCAATTATGCTACATACCTTGGTTTATAGATCGTGACTGTAATAGTCTTCCTCTCGAGATGCAGGCATAGCTTGTGGAAGATACGACCAATACTCAGCACATACTCCTTCTACAAAATCATGAGTGAAAAAAAAACGCACAGATGGATTAGTATTTTCTAAGGTACAGCCACACTTTCTTGGAATCTCAGTGAATTTAATGGGTATGTTATACCCCTGGGGGGCATTTCATGAAACAATTAGTCGGTGGTTTTCACCGACTAATATCATGTTCACCGACAATTTAGTCAGCACTGAATAAATTTGACCAATCACAGGCCTAGAAAATAGTCGGTGAACATGATATTAGTCGGTGAAAACCACCGACTAATTGTTTCATGAAACGTAGAGGAAACAGGCACTGAGGGTGGACACCATTTTAACAGGTCTTACTTTATAAATGCGAACACCCTCTACAGACTTCAGAAGAACCTCCACGTAATGTAATTCAACAGCATTGATTCCTCATCTGAACTATGGATGAGCCTTTTCTGGTCTCTCACAGGCAAGCTCTGAGTAATTTAAAATAATTTGCAAGTTTTGCTGCATGCATAATTTGTACACATTGAAGATTTCATCAAATCTATGTATAAAGTGTGATGCATTGTGCATGGCGCCCCTAAGAGTATGTCTTTAATCCGCAAACAGACCATAGAGTCCTCATGGTATCACATAATGATAATAAATAATATCTCATAATAGATAATGATATCATCACATATTTATAATAAATCAATAGAGTTGCAAATGCAATTTGGGTTTTTACAGATGTGTATCAATCAGATATGATTATTTACGTCTAGGGACCGACCTTTAACGTCACCATCCAAAAGACGTGACTCAGTTTTGAACCGGGGTTGCCTGAGTCAGTCTGTGGGCAAAGGCGGAGAGCTGACCAAGTAAACGTACCACTAGACCAACTCACATCACATCCAAAAGCATCAAATATTTAATGGAAAACTCATCAAAAAGAGGACATGCTTTAGTTCTGAAGGGTAATGTACGCCAGATTAAATTATTCTCCTGCATCAATAACATTATTTGTGTATAGTTACTCTTGAAAACATCTGCCTACCTTTTCTGGATTAGTGATCAATGGAGGATGACGTTGGCTCCTGGTAACAGATGATAAGTCGAGGCTGGGTAGAACCACCAACTGGAAACCCTGATAAGAAGCAACAATATAGCCACAGTGAAGTGATTAATATATGTCTTACAACTTGTACAAGTATCTACATCATTGGTGATAGTTAGCACCACAAAAAAAAAAAAAAAAAAATCCTCCTCAACCATGCACCCCTTGAGTAAAAAAAGAAAGAAGAGGATTCGGGGGAAAAACTGGCATCCAACAACATTCCCCCCCCCCCCTTTCGAGTAAGAAAATTGGGAAAAAAATTGGGAAAATAGGGGAAAATAGAGAAAATATAGAAAATAAGGGGAAAATAGGGATAACATTGGGAAGAAGAAAAAAAATCAGGAAAAAAATTGGGAAACCGATTTAAATCGGGTAATTATCAGGCCTGCTACATGTACATGTATAAAAAATAAAAAAAATAGGAGAAAAAGGCACCTCATCATCAACATGAGATGCCGTTCTGAGGCAGGGGCTGGCAGCTTAGCAGCTCCAAGTTCTTTGATCATCAATCCTTGTTCTGAACTCGCCATGGCAAAATTCTGTCCACTGCTTGTTGTTCTAAAAGAAAGCGATATACTGGCAACGAACAGTGTATTTCTTGCTTTCTTTTAATCACTCCTCCAAGAAAGGCACCTAAATTTGTTTAAAGAATCTTACTCCTTTTGAGACCATTTATAGATGGGCTTCACGGTCATGAAAGGACCTACATGTATGATGTCCTCATCTGCTAGGAGTTCAAAGTTGAACTCCAGGAAGTCCCTTTCCAAAAGCAACTGAATGAAAAACAAGCTTACCTGTAGGAGTCTTTGGGATATAAGCTCTTGGAATATGGCTTCCACTGTCATAAAAGGACCAATGATGTCCTCCTCCGCTAAGAGCTCATAGTTGAACTCCAGGAAGTCCCTTTCCAAGGATAACCGATCAGGATAGAAGTCTGTGGACACTGGCAGACATGCTGTGGCAGTCAGTGACTTCCAGTCGACACCTGTGTATAGTAAAGGGAAAATGACATTAACCCCTTCCAATCCAACACCATCTACCAACTAGCAGAGCGTCAATAACTCAATATTCAGTTGCCTGATCAAAGATGCTGGTGACTTTAAAGTCGGACTTGTCTACAAAAACCGCCTAGGTTTTTTTTTTTAAATAAGGTCACTCTAGACTAGGTCTTTCTAGACAGGTTCTACAACACATGTACTTCTTTCTATAGAGACAAAAATAAGGAACTATTGATCAATGTTGACAGGTGGTCTTGTATAAACAGGTGATCACTATAAAGGTTGTACAATTTGTAGACCATTGCAAGGCATTTTACTATTATTATGATACACCATTTGGGTTCTCATTCAATGAAACATTGTCAACAAACACCTGAAGGTCTTGGCACTCAAAATTAGCTTTTCTTCCCCCAAACAGACAGAGTCTTTCTCTTGATCTAAGAAGGTAAGTTGGAATGTAGTCATAGCAATAGATATATTGTGCTTGGAATTCAACTTGATTTTTAGCTTGGTTTATTGCAGAGACAACTTATCTCATATTTGATCTTAAAAGGCATGAAAGATGTGAGTTTGTATATCCAGATAAGAGTGCATGATCAATTCACACCAAGTATAGTGCTTTACAATAATTAAAGACGATGTTAAAATACACACACATGCAAATCATACTGAATGTCATACAGATATAAATAGGACACAAGGATAATGGTATATCACATACATACTGTACTGTACATGTAAATGTAAACATGTAGAAATTATTAGTGTATCACAGAATGGAATGTTTCTATTATAAGGCAGTACAAAAAGAATGAATAAACTAGATATAGTGTATAAATAAAAGCTGTCGCATGTTCCACATTATGTAAATGTATGGTGGGCAAAATGAGAAATGTTGAAATATATGCTTTTTTATGCAGAAAAGAAAGCAAAATGATTGCAAAATAAGAGAAGGAAGTACTGTATATAAAGTTAAAAAAACGCAAATCTAAATTAAAGTGGAGTAATAATGATGAGGGAATATACATGAATGTATGGTGCTGGATACAAGACAAAGAAGAATTCTTTTTAAATCAGTGTAAATCATTTGTGAGAAGTGTGAGAAAATGAAAAAGAAAGAAACCCTGCTATTTTTCCAACAAAAGTAAAAGATGGTGATTGAGAAATCTTAATGATACTGATGTGTACACATTGACACTGTATATGCTCTTTTTTTAAAGGACAAAAAACATGTAGCAGACACAGACAAAGGCAAACAGACAAAGGCAAACAGATGAAGGCAGCATTGAAAGGTGAAGAGAAATGAATAAGAACATTTCATAATACACATCAAACACAGCAGTCTCCCATATAGCATTTAAAATCTATTTTTAAAATTAAGCAGCAATAAAATTAGAAAGCAACCATAAAAGGATAAAAGACAATAACTGAAAACACAGAGGGGGAATGTTGGTGGCAGAGGAGGAAATGGATTTGAAATGGAGAAATAGATTCCATGACATATACAGGAAAAACATGAAATATAAACAATAAAACACATATGGTATTAAAAGGATAAGAGAGAGAAAGAATAGAACTGTATTACAATTGCACTCAAGACATAGAATAAAGACAAAAGACACAAGCAAAGTTCTGGCCATTTGAAAGAGGATAAAATGAAGGATGAAGCAGGCACAGAAAACGGAAAAAGTCACTCAACTGCACATTCGAAACAGGATAAAGGATGAAACATACCGAGACACAGGATAGAGGCAGGGACACTTCAAATGAAAGAGGAAAGAAGAATGAGGATAAGGGGTGATCAGACATTTGCCCAAGCGACAAATTGGTGGGGGCTTTATTTCATCCAAAGATATAGGATTAGCAATAATGGGAAGGCGTGATGGCTCAGTGGTCTTGTAACTGTGGGATCCGGGTTCAAAACTAAGTCGAGGTGCTAGTGCCCTTTGATAAGGCATTAATCCTCAATACCAAGTCCCTCGGAGAGGACTTAAAGCCATTGATCCTATGGTTGCTTAATTGAAAGTATACTCTTAGCAGTCAGGTAAAACCAAGCAACCAATCACAATAATATTATGATTGGTCTTTAGGAGTAAATAGGGTTAGTTATGCGGCTAGAGTTTGGTCCAGGAAAGAAGTTGGGAATTTTTTTAAAGCGCAGGCAATTCACCAAGGAAGGTTTTCACCAGAGCAGGTTCTGAACAATGAGACAAAGACAGCACTAGAAATAAATATGAGGAAAATAATAGAGCAGATATGAAGACAAAGAAAGGAGAAGAGGACCAATACCAAACAAAGCAACAAAAAAAAAAACAGGGATTGAACAAACAAACATGAGGAGCCACCATTTAAGAATGAATCAATACAAATTTTCTTTAAATAAATAAAAAAAAAAAAAGAAATGTAAAGGGAGGTGGGGGATGGGAGGTGGGAGGTGGGAGGGGGGTTAATGAGTTCTATGACAGATAATGGTTTGAACAATGAACATCAATAACATGTAGAATGACATCAATAGCAAATAAAACACAGAGAGAATAGAAACTGCATGACGACTGCACACGAAACAGATTAAGGAGAGAGAAACTTTTAAAAGGTAGTGACACACGACAAAGGCACATGAACTCAACAACGAGATTGAAAGAGGGGCAAGAAAGAGAGAGAGAGAGAGAGAGAGAGAGAGAGAGAGAGACTGCATGACAACTGCACACACGACACAGATTAAGGAGAGAGAGAGACACTAGACACTGGCAGTGACACACGACAAAGGCACATGAACTCATCAACGAGTTTGAAAGGGGAGGGGGGCAAGAGAGAGATAGAGGAGGGGGGCAAGCATTGCACCTGTCAGGGTGTACGGGGTCCACTCCTGATTGCCCGTTAAGCTCCACAGGATATTGAGCCTTCGTAGTGAAGGATGCTGCTGCATGAGATGATCCAGGGAGCCTGGCCCATCCAACAGACCGCGTGTGCCTGGGCCGGGTGGAAATGTGTGACATGACTGACTGAGATAGCACAGGCATTATGGCTTAATTCAACGTTAACCCGGTGGTGTGAAAGCTTTTGCGATTTTGTCCAAATCTGGTTAATCCGGTCACACCTCTAAAGCCTCTTTCATACATGAGATGTTAAACAACGTTTTTTTTTTTTAATGCAGTAAATAAACGTTACATACAGTACATGTCCATGTATGTAAGCATAGCGGGCTTCCTATTTCTGTAGCTCCTATCACACAGATATGTAAGATTGCTGGGGGGGGGGGGATTTGTAGCATGCAGCTATTTTTTTTCATACCCAATCTTAATTTATTTACATGTAAAGATGTTTTTATTTTTCCTCAGCAATTTTTCTCAAGGCTGTTTACCATGTAATGTGTTAATTGAGGCTCAACGTTTTGGCAAGTAGAGTGTGCAATCGGACACTAGTTAGGTCTGTCTAATTCTGATAAACTCTAATGTAACCATAAATATTTTGAACCTGTTTAAAACAAATCTGTCATGTGAGCTTCTACAGCAGCCGAGGAGGATCTGCATCCAACTCAGGAGTAGGGATATGTCATTAACATAATTATATAAACTGAAGGCAAACTATACATACCGATCAATATGTACATTCCTAAAAACATTAATTCATTCAGCATTCACTCACTAAATACTAAACCTAGGTTGATAAAGATTATTTGAACTCAGATAACATCCATCAAGCACACATGATGATATGAGCAAGCTGATTGAAGCATATATTACATATATACCGGTAGGTATTTCTAAGAAATGTCTACTTCAAAGAAAATTGATGAAATTAAAGAGCAGCATTTATTTTTGTATTTTTGTTTCCCCCTTCTTTCTTTTACCTCATTTTTGCAAGAAAGAACATACTTTTCCGTATAATTTTCATGACATTTTCGCACATACTTATTCTCTCTCTTATTTGTTCTGGGCCCCCATCTTACACAGAGTAGGAGACTGCAGACTTGGGACTGATTGGAGGCCTTTGCGATTGATTTGGATCAATTGCAACTCTTTGTAAGACGGGGCCCTGATCTGCAAATTAACTGTTTGAAAAAAAGTGATGCAAAAGCATAGCAGACGTGCATATTTGACTGGCTGAAAAATTCTTATTTTGTGCATAAAGCTTGGCATAAATGCTTGGCATAAAAGCTTGGCATAAAAGCTTGGCATAAAAGCTTGGCATATAAAGCTTGGCATAAAAGCTTGGCATAAAAGCTTGGCATAAAAGTTTGGCATAGCTCCTATTCATATTTAATAGGCAAGAATATACTAGAAATCATTTGTATACAATGCAGTACAATATAATGACAGATCAGATGCAGCTATTCAAAGAAGAATCACAGTTTAGTACCACTTGCTTTTAAATGAAAATTTGTTAACCTCAAATAGTGCTAAGTACAAAGAATAGCCCTAGATCTATGAGAAGTGAGAATTGAAGAAAAAAAAAGACCTACCGGTACCCCGTTTCCGATCTTAAGTGTTACATTCCAAGAAACCAAAGCATAAAAGAGTTGAAAATAAACAAAATCACATCAATTTATTCTATAATACGTCATGTACACGTACATCAACTTTTTTCGTTACTCATCTACTTGTGTTAAAGATTTACAAAATTAAACTAAAATTTCACAACAGTTCAAACTTTTGTTTTTTAAGCCCCTTGGTGATTGAAGATCCATTTGAAATCACCCTTTTAAATTTGAAAATAAATTCTTATTTTTTTTCTTTTCACCTCTATATGGAACAAACCAGATTTTGTGTGAACTTGTTTACTTCGACCAACATAAAAACGAATTTATTCAAGAATTACTAGGAAATTAAAGGTATGCACAGCTTTATAGTTTATCTATGGTATCAAATTTATGGTGCATGTATAAAAGATAATACAGCTTATAATAAGAAATAAGGAAAGCCCCATCATTAGAAAATGTTAAATCAAGACTGAAAACCCACTTATTCATGTAGTATGTATAGCACAGCATTTAAAAGGTCTTGCAGCGCAGTAGAATATATCCACATAGTTATTGCGCTTTACAAATGAATATGTTAGTAGTATTATTATTATTATTATAATCAACAAGAGAAATGCAAAGCTGAAAACATGTAGAAGTCCTTTTCTGTCATACCTGCGCTGCCAGGCCTCTGCAAGACTGTGTCTGTACTCGGAGAAGAACCAGTGCTGAAAAGACTGCTTCCGCTAGCAGAGGGGCGGAGTCGATTCTCACTGGCACTACGCGGTAACGACGGCCTCTCGGTGCCATCGGTAGGGGTGCGTGCCCCGCCCCCGTTGATGACGGGGCCAGCCCAGTGGTAGTGGGGGCTGGAGGGGGAGGACCCTAGGGTGCTGGAGTTTCGTTGGTGGTAGGGGTTGGAGGAATTGGACGGATAGTAATGGGAGAAGTAGTAGGACGGAGTGATCTGGTTACGATGGTGGGTTTGTATGGCGCCCCCGCTTGGGCCTGGATGGGTCAATGACATGGGAAGAATGATTGAATGAGTTAAATGCAGGTTGGTGTTATAGTTCAGTATGATACAAGTTCACTGACAATGTAAAAACAGTAATTTTTGATTGATACAAATTCACTGCTAAGGTCAATACAAAATATGTAAAAACATATTGAGAAAACTCACAGATGCTTTATCCCTTGAACTCATTTGAGTTGCAGAAAGTAAAAGTATGTGTATTTTTACATAGACCAACATTTTGAATTTCTTTAGATGAGCAAAATTTACTACGGTATTCATATTTTTACAACAACTGGCAAATTGGGTATAAATTCATCACCAATAATCTCATATCACTTTTGAAAATTAATGTATTACATTGTCAGTAAGTGAGATGGGAATATACAGAATATGAAACCCACAAATATTAGTTATAGTGATAATGACTGAATAGATAATGTATAAATAAAACTAAATGATACAACAAGATAAAAGTTTGAATCTCAGAGGAAGGCCTTACCCTGAAGTGAATAATAGTTATTATTATTCTCAATGACAGTAAACTCTATGCATAAAAAAGGATCAAATGATTATTTGGGATGCCAGAGGATATATCCTCTCATTAAAGCAAAGAACATCTCAATTACTTTGTAAGACATAAAACCAGGAACAGATTTCATAATAAAGGCTATACGGAGGGGCAGCTCTGATATACCCAGGGTAATATTGTGTAAAGCGCCATGAGCGTCAGGGCCTGGCGGATATCGGCGTTATACAAATATCCATATTATCATAAGGACAATCTAGCTCTACATGTATATACTTGATATCTGATAACATACATATAAATAACCATACTAGTTAACAAACACGAAAATTATACATATTCTAAAACATGACTTGAGATATCAAATTGTTCAGAGAAGTTCTACTTACATATACATACATGTACACTGATTTACATTAAAAAAATAAAAATATACATTTGAAATTTTGAATACCTCCAATAACAATACCAGAAAATAAGTTTACTTTAAAATAATGATACCAAGGGTATTTAAAGTTAACGATGCACAAAGCAAAAACATACTATTGGCTTGATATTGAATACAGAGTATCTTCTTACATTTTCCCTGTTATTTCTATCATGGGTACTCTACTGCTATGCTTTTTTTTATGGTATTCATCCAGAACAACTAAGCAATTTTATCTTCTTCTCCTGAATAACCAAAAATAAATGAAAATGGTGTCCTAGCTCACCCTGTGGAAAGGTGTGTGTCCACCTGCGTCTGTTAGAGGTCAGCTTGACCACCAAGCTAGATGTTCCGAAAGGATTGACCAATGCCCTTGGCTGGCCCTGACCGGCTTGGTTGAAATGGGCAGTGGTAGCCCCGGCGCTGCCCACCACGATGCCCTTGGGAGAGGTCGAGGCGGTAGTGCTCTCCGAAGAGTCTCTACGTCTTGCTTCAAAACTATGGCTGATCACGTTGGCTGGAAATACAGAAAGAGATAGAGCTCATTATATATATGCTTAATATCTAATTTACGGTATGCTATTTTGTTTAAAACTCATTATGAAATTGATGTAGATTTGTTTGAGCTGTCTCAAGAAGACTTTATCTGTTTCTTATAACATAAAATGAAGATAACTATGGATGCCAAGTATATACAAAAATCTATCACTTACATAACATTGTTATGTATATGTAGTTCAAAATAATCTCTTACGACTAGAGTAGTTCCTTACTACGACACATACGGATGTTCAATATTAAAGATTGTATGAAAATTAATTAATTCACACAAAATTCATGCTAATACTCTTTCCAAGATATTGCCAATTTGACCATTGTTTATCTCTTATTTTGTTGTTAAATGGGCGGGATTTTGCAAATGAAGAGAAATCGCTAGTATGGATAATAAACCATAGCTTGAGATTCACATATATGCAGCTTTGAAGAAGAAAAAAATGTATAAAACAAACAAATCATTTATATAAAAACAGGACCCTGTCTTACAAACGTTTGGGATTAATCGCAACTTATTTGTGATTGATACCAATCGCAACTACATGCATAAGAGATAGGAAACTGCAAACTTGCGATTGATTAGAGGACTTGAGATTGAATCAGATCAACTGCAACTCTTTATCCAGATTGTACAAAAACTGTCAGCCTACCTTCTCTTTGGATTCTGGCAAGTGGGTTGGCTTTATTGCCCCTCCCTGGAATGGCTATTGCAACATCCCCATCCTCTGAATGGTAGCTTCCCTGCTTGGCACTAGGGGAGCTATTCCTTCTACCTGGATCTATCACGTCTGGCTTGGTCCATTTGTTCTACACATGGTATACAGGGGGAGGGTGGAGAATGTGAACAAGTAAAAGAGGGAGTCAAACCTGACATTTAGTTGGTTTTAACAGAAGCAGAAAAAATGAGAGGAACAGGTCAGTAACGTTTGAGCAAAGTCTTATAAAAAAATAAGAAAGTCATGAATTTTTGAAGTTGTTATCAGTCAAACACAAATTGTCAACACTGTGACATATTTTGCGAGCTCCTCTCCAATTTGCATATTCTTCGTTATTGATGACGGAATAGAAAGCAAACGGGAAGGGAGCTCACAAGATACGTAACAGAGTTGCCAATTTGTGTTTGATTGTTTGCAACTCAAAAAGCTCATAACTTTCTTAAAGTTGATTGGAATTTGCTCAAACTTTCACTGACCTATTCCTCTTATTTTCTGCTTCTATTTAAACCAACTTGATATCAGGGTGGACTTCCCCTTTAATATCAAATCAACTTATCTCTACTGCAGTATTTCACATGGAAGAATTTAATAAGCAATGAGAGATGTACAAAACATACAGAAATTACGACATATAATACTAATAATAATGTCAGGCTTATATAGTGCATAATATGTTGCCATTTCTCTCTACTCGCTTAACAAAAGAACAAACTTGTTTCTTATCAAACGTTTGAAATAGCTACAGTAACTTAATTACATCAGTTAAACCTGTCTGTACTTGTTTGGCCAGGGGGATTACACCTCCCTGCAAGGTCACTGACAGGTGGTCATCCCATCAAATCAGCTCTCAATTAATATAATAAAAAGGGGATCATGGGGGACCAACAGACATTGATTCAGCATTATTTGCTATATAGAGAGCGCAAGTAGCTATAAGTAGTGCAGTGGGGCTTTAAGATAGTATGGCAGTACATGAAGAATCTAAATACAATACTTTATGAGAGATGATTCTCACCTGAGGTGATCCCTGCTTGTCAAAAGTCACATGGCCTACCGATCCAGGTTGCCGTTGACGATGCTGACCACCTGACGATGGACGCATAGAAGCTGGTGTCCTAAAAACAAGGAAACAGACATACCCATTGATACGCATGAACAAAAATACACAATGAGGTACAGTGAAATATGCTCATGAAACAAGCAAGCAATGTTGTCAACCTCTGTGTGGCGAGCCGTGGCAACTGATTTCTGGTAGTTGAACGACCACAACTGAGATAAAAGAAGCAAGACATCTCTTAAAAGTTATCCAAAAGACTTTTCCTATTTTTGTCCCTCGTCACCCTGTTTTACGGTACCGGGCTTGGATGACTTTAATTGATGGGAATTGTACAAGGTTTGAAGTAAATGTATTGTGAAACCTGTACATAATGACCAATTCAAAAGTAATTGTGAAACTTAGTCGTTACATGCAGGTGGTCTTAATGTCCAGGTTTCTTGAAGACAATAAACTATCTAATTCAATGAAAAATTCCTTTTGAGGGAAACAGTTACTGTCATACTGTCTTTCTAGACAGGTGTTACCTCTGCACCAACATGGATGCAGCCATTACCTAGGTTTGGGTGACTTGCCACTGAGGACACCGAAAACACCCTCATCATACTCCTCACACTGGTAGTCTATATCGTCCGGTTTGGGGAGGGAGTGGTCGGAGGAGATGTGACGCAGCAGGGCGTGTCTGCTCATCACCTGCGGGCAGCACTTGACTAGGGTGGGGAGGGGGTCTCCATTCTGAGATGTGTATATCTGGGACGAAATTGAGTGGAGAAGGGGTTGAAATTAATTGGCTAGCATTGGATGGATAGCATACATCTTATCCTTTTCTATGTGCATTCATGTAAAGGCAGTGGTAGTGCACGTATGTGAGAACTTTATCTTATCTTTTTCCGACATAATCTCTACAATATTTACATGTACTTTTTCTCTCTAGAAAGTTCATCTGTATTTAATAGTGGTACATACTTTTCAGAATTAAACTTTTGATCTCAGTACAATAACAAATAAAACCAAAAAAATGATATCAAAAGTTTAATTCTCCCTCATGAGTACTTTAAAAAAAAAAAACATTACAAAACCTGTTTAAATATCATAAAAGGAATGAGACTGTCAATAGTACAATAAGGCATGGTATTATGCTTTCTAAGAAAATCATGAGATCAAACTCACATAACAATCTTGATGATGATCAAGTTATCAAAAAAATAATTCTCTTCTTCTTTCTTATACTGTCCAACTTAATTTCACATCCCTAGGAGTGATTAAACAGGCAGGGTGAGATGTGATTGTTGATATTTGGGCAGAGAGAGAGAGAGAAAGAGAGAGGGGTAGGGAGGAAAAGGGAGAGAGAGGGAGAGAAATAACAGCCTTTTTTTTCTTTTGCTCGAAAAGATGATTGTAGATTTCTATTTTAAACTTATCTCTCTCATAACGCTATGCAGCTTACCTTTTTACACTTCCAGCCAATGAAAAAATGACAATAAGAAAAGGATCACATGAAATTTACCTTCTCTGCTAGCTTGATTCTTGGTTTGAATTTATCATTAATGCCATGTACACCCTCTTTGGTGTAGAAGCTGTAGTTGAGCCAGTGAGGGATGTTGTAGTCTCCTCTCTGGACATGCACATCTTTGGTCTTGTTATGGAACTGCAAAAGAAGAACATATTATTCCAAACAAAGAATAACACAGCGTTTATAATGTTTCCCAGGGCCCCGTCTTACAAAGAGTTGCGATTGATCCAAAATTCCAAATCAATCACAATTCCTCTAATCAATCGCAAGTTTGCAATCTCCTATCTCTTATGTACATGTACATAGTTGTGATTGATACCAATCGCAAATAAGTTGTGATTAATATCAACTCTTTGTAAGACAGAGCCCAGGTATGACATTTTACATTATGAATGGAGATTTGTTAAGAAAAGTTCACTACAATTGATTCAAATATTGCATTAAAATCAATAACAAGTAATTTTATTTAATGCTCATGTCATCTAAAAAAATTCATAATTCATCACTAAAATTGTCATAAAATTGCCATGTTATAAAGCCATTGGAAAAAAGGTAATTTGGAATATCACACTTTCTTACTCTTTTCCACATTCAACAAAAAAACATCTAAAAGATACAAAAAGATACCAACATTGTAACTGACGGAATGCTCTATAAACTTGTGAACTAATATTGTTAATACTTTGCATATGTACTTACCCTAAACAGAGGCACTGCATGTAGAGGCTGTTCAGCTAGACATACTAGATCACTGCCGATACCTGATACAGAAAGAACAAAAATAAGAAACAAATGTTAGAGAGAAACACACACACAAACAAAATAGAAATGAAAATGATTAACAATTAATATATTTTTAACTAAGAAATGCTGGTCTTTTTATTGAAAATTTAGAATATTTTCATGATTTCGAATAGATTCATATGTTGTGAAGAAGCTTGAAGATGCTTCAAAGTAGATACATCACTGGACTGCATGTAAATCACATGGTTCGTGGTTCGAGTCCCGCTGTGGCACTACTATCCTCTGGCATGATGTAAATCTACATTTGCCACTCTCCACCCAGGTGTAGTAAATGTGTACCTGGTAGGAAGACAATGGTCGTAGCACCTTACGGCAGCCAGGCTATACCCTGGGTATTAATAGTACTTTTTAGGTGCCTTGAGCATTCCCTTGGGATGTAAATGTGTGCAATATAAATGTAGCAAATGTACACCATTTAAATATCAACATCAAACACTAGAAAATGAACTATAACGAATTCTTGCCTCATAAAATTGTTTTAGATTCAATATTTAGTTAACTGTTATTATTGAAAATTTAGTGGCACAGTAATATTGGGTTCCTTCCTTACCATTATCAATCATTCTCTGTCTGGTGATTTTGCACATTTCCCTGTCGACATCAAAGACTCCAGCTCCCGGGGTCAGTAACACGACCAGCTGACCGGTGCGCTCAAAGTTACGGTCAACATAATGCTTGTCAAACACTGGATAGGAGGTACAAAAAAGAAAACTGGACATTAACCCTACGTTAACTGGGGGGTGGTCAATTTGACCACCCCCTGTAGAAATTTCGCGACTACTCCGAAACCGCGGCAGATATAAAATTTTCCTCTCATGACTTTTTACTTTCGAGTGTTACGCATCTTTTAAAACAATTTTTTTGAAAATCGGACCTACGGTTACAAGGTCGCGTGACCTTTTGTCTTTGCATGTCAGCCCGAAAATCGCTCATTTTCGTGATTTGTGTACAAAACATATGTAAAAGTCATTTTTCCTAAAAATAGATAAAACATTGGTTATTTAGTCTTGTTTAAAGTTTAGATGTTTGTTTTGGGGTCAAAATAGTTGAATTGTAGTTATAAATGAAATAAAACAACAAAAACAATAAAATACATAAGTTAAAAAAACAATGAAATACATAAGAAATTATAAAAACAAGAGATAACATAAGGAATAACCTGGCTCTTCCAATTTTTTGTGTTGTATTATTATTCCAAATGGTCTAATAAATATATGTAGTGAAAAAGAATACTTAAATATGAATAATCTATGATTTATGGGCCGAAATGTGAATTTTATGACCTTATTTGCATAAATTACCATAAATATGCAAATGAGTGAATTTTTCAAAAATTTGAAATTACCATAGTATTCTATAATAATAATAATAATAATAATAGCTAGTTCTTATATAGCGCTTTTCAGGACTATACACTTCACTTCACTTGACATGCATGCAAATTTTCGCGGCGATCGGCGGTGAAACGGCCGAGATCTTAGGGGGGGGTCAAATTGACCCCCCCCCCCAGTAAAAACCTGGTCTGAAATAGCCCAGTTAAAATAGGGTTAAGACTTGTTCAATATTGACACAGTATAATGTCTTCAAAAGCGACCAAAGAAAAAAGGAACTCGTAGTGCATTTCATATTTCTGTACCTCATTACATACAAATACGCCAATACACTTGGGGGACTTAGTTGTGCACACCGACCGCTTTTTAAATCTCCACTTGCCGTTCATTTCAATGTAAAATGTTTTACATTTGCAACTGCAGTCTTTTGAGGCTGTTTACCTACTTAAGACTGAAAATAGCTTTACACTGCCATTACGATAATATCCTCAATGCACATTCTGAAGCAGTATATCATATAAAGGTTTATTTCAATGGGCATTAAGTTCATGTAAAAAGTAAATACGTTAATATCTTCTGGCTGTCAGCAGACAATATATTTGCAAAATACTAAACTTATTGAACGCTGCATAATTATGATCATCTATTCCTCACCATTGAGAGTCATGTTTAGAGTTTCCAAGAAGTTTCCTTCTGCAGCTGATGAGTTGTAGCCTGGGGGTATTTGTCCACCTAGATGGAGAAAACAAAAAATGGTGGAGAAACACTTAATCTCTCAAGCTTACTATTATAATGATGACTCAACAGTTTTCCAAAGTGAATGTTATGACATTCAAGAAAAAGGGCCCATGCACAATTGGATCTGAATGAAAGACAATGTTTACACATGTACTCTATATCATATATACGTACATTAAAATGTTTCTGGGTTTCACATAAAAGACTCCTTTAGAGAGTTCAATGAGTCTTGAGGGCACTTAACTTGTGTTTCGTATAAGACTCAATTATAGTATACAATTATAAGTGAGCATTAAGCGTGCTTACCTCCTAGAGTTTCACAGAAGACTTCTTTGAAGTACACTTGAAATAAGTTGTAAAAAGTGTAACTTTTTTCATATTATTTAATTTCCATATTGGAATAGTAAATAAAGTAGACTGCATTTGAGGTAGTGAGTCTTGAGAGTGCCTACCTTCTTGAGTTTCACATAAGATATATTTGAGGTAGACTGTAAATCAGGTGTATGTGTACATTCTTTCATCTTACTTGTCTTACAAATAAGATTCCCATTCAATTTTTCTTTGGGGCAGCGAGACTTGAGAATGCTAACTTTCCTGAGTTTCACATAAGACTTTTTTTTAGTTACACTGTACATAAGGTACACTGCAGTTGAAGTAGTGGGTCTTGAGAGTGCTTACTTTCTTGAGTTTCACATAAGACTTCTTTGAGGTAGACGATAAAGTGAGCCTTGAGTGTCTGGAGTAGCCCATGCCATTCATCTCTTCTCTCGTGATGGACGACGGCACGATAGAAATCTTGGTAGAACCGACCGGCGTAGTCAACCTTCACATTGTCTCGCATCCACTTGGGGAACTGGTCTGCTTGAACAGAGATAAATGACAACTCACTGAAAGGGAACACTTGATCAATAGGGAATATACAGATCTTAAATGATTTCAGACATTCATATTTAAGTGTTATGGGCAACAATACAACCCTCCCCCCAAAAAAAATTTCCACAGAAATACCTTCTTTAAAAAAGTTTTGTGAATAACGCAGTTACTGAATGTTACTGGATGTCATCAACAAAAATGAGGGGAAAAGGGTGGGCAAATTCTTCTTTTCACAAAGTAATGGACTTTAATAGAGATAGGTCGGGACCAATGTTGCTGTATATGATATATCATGTAAATTAATGGACAAATTTAACCACAGAAGAAACTTGAAAGATGACCATTTGCTTTAACTTTTAAAAAATAATGGGCGCTTTGCTTTCATATCAGATAAAGTTAGTGTAATCAATACAAAGACAGGAAATAATATTAAAGTCAAGTATGAACTCACCAAGTGACTTAGCTTTGAAGAATGTACGAGAGAAGAGAACCACAGTGGCCTCATTGTTGACCCCTTTATCTCTCCATTTGTTAAAGAGATCTGTCAGGAATCCACCGACAGCCTTCTCCCAGTAAAGGTCACCTATAGGAAACAGTATAAGATAAAAGATAAAGTCTTTGAACACATTAAAAAAGAAAATTTATTAGGATCGCTGTATAAAAGTAGGTAAGAGAACTATGGTGACCTCATAGTTGACCCTTTATCTCTCCATTTGCTGAAGAGTAAATAATCTGCCAACAGCCTTCTCCCAGTAAAGGTCACCTGTGGTAAAATATTGAAATTTAGAAGACTATAATTGATTGACTAATAGATTAATTCATTGCTAGAGTTTGGCTTTAGTGTGCTTCACATACAGTACCTGCTTTTGATGAAAAAAATAAAACTAATTAGATATTTAACAATAGGGTCCTTTTTTAGCACAGTAGCAATATTAGTAGACTTTACTGCATAACTTGTTTAGTACAATGCTAATCTGCCACAAGGTCTAATCTACACATTGATCCACACAATGTTGTTAATCGCCAATATCTTACAAGTTCAGTTTTTAGGCAGTTTATCACATCATGTCTAAACAGGTTTAACTGTTCACAAAATCTTGAACCATTGAATTTGCAATTTTGATCTTACCACATGTATCAAAGTCCCACATCTCTGAGCTCATCTGAATGAAGAGATAGACCATGGCTGTGGCTGATCTGAAGGCTACCCTTGTATCGTTGGTGATGGCTCCGCAGGACACCCTCTCCCAACGAGACCAGAGTTCCTGGACCTGGGCACGGATCCCACTCAGTTCTAACTTCTGCTGGATGTGAATACATGTGTCCACCTGAAATATGGAGATGACAAACAATATTATAATAATAATAATAAGATTTGGGACCTGTCTCATAAAGACCTGTGATGGATCCAGACTGATGGAAAGTCCCCAATCAACGCAAACTTGCAAACTTCTGTCTCTATAGTAGAGAGTTGAGATTGAGTTCAGGTCGCCATCAATTTGAATCAATCACAACTGTTAAAAGATAGGGCCCTCGTCAAATATGTATTCATTTCATCAACCAAATACCTTGGACTCACACAAATATAAAGTATTCATAGCTGCGATTTTACCACACTGTGTTTTGATGGTTGATGTTTGTTTTACCTGACTGCTACGAAAGCATGTGTAACTTGTAAGTACTGTAAGCAACCAGCTGTAAGTCCTCCCTCAGGGACTTGGTAATGAGGATCAATGCCTTACCAAAGGGCATGAGTGCATTGACTTGGTTTCGAACCTGGGACCTCTCAGTTACAAGGCCACTGCTCTACCACAGAGCCATCATGCCTCCTCCTTTTTTAGTCTCCTGATGTCACTCCTGCTGTTGATGTAGTAATTGTTCTTGGAGACCAACTCCACCCTGTCTAAGGCAACATCTGCAGGCTGGACCTATATAACTGGGACATTTTTATAAAACATCCTATCAGAGGAACAGTGTGTACTCACAAGACTGTTCTTGAGTCTCCACATGTCACTCCTGCTGATGTACTGTTCCTTGAAGACCAACTCGACCAGGTCTAAGGCCACATCTCCAGGCTGAACCTTGGTCACCTTGACATTTTTGTAAGCCCTCAGCTGAAACAGGGACGCCACTCCCTGCTCTACACTTATGATTTCTGTGGGAAAATGCAATATTTGTTAGCAATGAAGAGATAATCTAATAATTCAATTATATTACTTGGCTAAAAACATACAGTGTAGCTTTGGATATTTTATCTGGAATTGACAGGGTCATGACTGAAGAATTATTAACCAATGCATTTACACATTTAAAGGTTACACAGATAATGCACATAGGCATCTAGAATATAATGGCATCACATTATACCTAGACAGGTATTATCACAGTTCCAAATGAACTACGGTACAGATTTGAAGATTATTCATTATATTGATGAATGATTGTACCGTCTGTTTGGAGCCAGAAGTACATTAACTTCTGTATAACACAGAGTTAACAGCCTTCTGGCTCTGTGCAGATGATTTGTAATGATGCTAAAGAGGATACATTTTACTCACCTTTACTGTTCTGTTGAAGCTCATCTTTGAAGGATTTGACTTGCAACAGCAAGTGACTGAAAGACAAAATGAACGAAATATGACTTTCTTGTGTTTGACTGCTAGAATTGGACAAGGGTCAGAGTATTGCATGTACTATGAACATACCAAGATCAAAGAGGGATCTATCAAAAGTTGTGAAATGATTCTTCTAAAATTTGTCAGAGTGAATACAATGAATCCTCTGGATGAAAAACTAAAAATTGAAAACTTGTATCAAAACATATTGAACAATACAAACCTTTATTTAAACAATTAGATTTCAGGAAATCTATTTCTGTCCTTTATATCAATGTGCGAGCATTGCATGATAATAGTCTGACTTCTAGAGTAGACTTCAATCACATGGTTAGATTTTTATTTTTATTTCGGGCTTACACCTTCAGATACAACATTTATCTTCAGTTGCAATCACCCCAAGTCAGTTATCCAAAAAAAAAAAATTATGAGATGATATATGAATTGAAATCCTGTAATTGGTCCGATAGGTCATTTGAATTTCTTTTATCCCTTTGATAAATATATAAATCTTCAATGTTTATGTGGGTGGGAAAGTGGATTCTCTCTAAGGGCTTCACAGGGTGCTATCTTACCTGCTTTCTTCATCAGGATGATAAATTTCCAGGATATCACCAATCTTGACATCAGGGAACTCTTTCGGGTTGATCAGTAATTCATTTTCTGTATGAAGAAGAAAAATTATTATAGCTCCAGTCCATTGTAAGGTGAAGCAAAAATGGTGAATTTCAATCCTACACTTCAGTTCATTTGCAAGTAAATATATTCATATTATAATAGAGAAGATGTGCCCTCATTTGCACACCGCAAAAGCTATCAAGGTCTATCTTAATGTAAACAGAAATACTTGATGTGACCTGAAAGACACCCACAAAGAGCCCCGAGTCTGAAATCACTGTTTCCAAAATTATAAAGCACATTGAGATATGACAGTAGTTTTTTAGTTGAAGTGGTACACCATGCATGGCATGTGTTTGTTAAAAACATGTTAGCCCTACATGTAAATGAATGGCAACTTGTTAATGTGCGTAACATATTCGCATACTCACTGAGCTCTGTGTGATCAGAGTTGGAAATATGAAGCTTCTTGCACACGTCTCATGTTAAAGATCATTCCCCGGATCGGAATATTACAATTTAGGTCTAGATCTAGGTCTAGATCTAGATATCTATAGACCCTATGTTTGTAAAAACTAAAAACCTACTCAAAAAACACACACACACACATACACATATTGACACTACTGTTGAGTTGCGTCGACGCAACATATTTGTTAGAGGATGCATGAAAACTGTTATAGAGTTGGATAATTGATCACCGATCATGAAGCCGAGACAACCAACCTGTTCGAACTAGCTAGATCTATGCCGCATTATTGGAATTGTGGCCCGTTTATTTCACAACCCAACTTGGAAAGCATGACATTGACAAGATCTAAGTACCTGTTTGCAGAGTTTATATTATTATTTGTAAAATTAGTAATCAATATGAATCATATTAGGTTCCAAAATGGTAGACGTCGTTGGTCTGACTAAACACAAAATGTTAAATGCACAGTGATGACAGACAGAAAACCAAACAGCTGGGACGCACGTTCCCACGGATTCTCGTTAAATTTCTACGGGAAACGAGCGGCGCAGTGTTTTGAGCTCTCGATGAATCTCACGGCTGGTCGCGTGACTCTGAGCTGAAGATGGCGAGTTTCTGCGCTTTTACTTACCACTAAATGCCTTTTGATGAACCCACAGCTTGAAATTCTTCATCTTGAAAGAGTCTGTCAGACGTCATCTGAATCACTTACCACCAATGTATTATAATTATCGAATAAAAAAACATGTTTTTCGTTGTTTTGATAAATGACTTGCGATCAGCTCTTTGTCGAGATCGATACCGATCGCATTGATTTTATGGTGATCGGATTTTTTTCTTCCTGATTAAATTCTTCTTCTTCTTCTTTTTTACCCTAGTTAAAGTGCAAATGCAAAAATTATCGAAATCATTTCGCCTTTTCACCAAAATCTTAATAGTGGGTACCTTTTTCTCTTCCATAGAATATATAAGCCTCTATCACTTCCAAGTTCTAAACCAAATCTGACTAGCCCCCCCCCCCCCCCAACCCCCCCCCCCCACCACCACCACCACTACCATAGAGTACGCAGGATTTTTTTCAAGGGGGGGGGGGGGGGGGAATGAGCACACTTTTTTTTTGGGGGGGGGTGCCCAGTTTTTGAGGGGAAATTTCGCAACGACTCAGCCGGTCGCTGAATAAGCAGGGGGGGGGGGGGGGGGGGGACGGGGTTGGTTAGAGCACACTTTTTTTTGTCCCGAAATTTTTAAACAATTTATTTTATTTGACAAAAAGTGAGGGGGAGGGGGTTATCCTCCGATACCCACACATTAAACAAATTTGAGGGGGTTAACTCCACCCCCCCCCCCCCCCCCCCCCCCCCCGTCTGCGTACGCGCCTGACAACCACACCCCGGTTTTCGGTGAGGAGTATAGGCAGTGTCTACAGTCTGGGATTCTATTGGCTAAGTTTTGAAATTGGCGAGCCCTGCTTAAATCTGGATGAATGTCATCGCATATGGGGAAAGACTTGAAATGCCTTATGCAGTTTGAATGAAGGAATATAAATCAGCAAAAAAATACGTAAAAGCATTTGCAGATCTCAAGGGGGGGGGGTGTGGGAATTTGTACCCAACTGAGGCAATTATTTCTTTGCAGTTTGTACTGCTGGTAGAGACAAATGAAAATGATAAAAACAAAATAAGAGTAATTAAATGACCCTCATTATAGTTTTGGCAAAATGTGAGATTTCTTTACTTTTTCTTTGCCTCTCTGTTTTTCTTCTCCTGGCTCTTTAATTATTTATCTCATGAGGCTTATTTAGATTTCTCCTTTTTTATATTTCATGTTTTATGGATCCTTTTTATTTCAGATGAAACATCAAATCATTATAAATTATGGTGCATCGTAAAAATGTAAATATAAATGACGTGTATAACAATCATCATACATTATATTAAGAAAACTAACAAAAAACTAGAAATGCAATCGTGTCACAACGATGTGCGTGCAATGACGCCATGTTTCTACATGTCAAACGAAAGAGCTTCTCTCGCCCTATCCAGAGCAATTTGTACGAAGTCTGTAGCTTCTGTGATATTGGAGATAGGTAGGGCGAAAGAAAGGCCTCAACAGTGACCTTGATGGGATGGTAGTGACTATGCCTACGAAGTTTGAAAGAAATTGGGATATGGGAAAGGACGTGGAAAGGGCTCGCAAGCACTGCATGCAAAAACCAAGGGGATTTGGTGCATGTTCGTCATTGCAATAAAGATCGTTCTGGGGGTCAAAAGCGTGAACCAGATATGCCCCATAGACAATGCGTGTAATGCATGAGCGGAAAACGTACAGGATCTGTATTATGACCGGAGTTAAATTGTTTTTTCTCTCTCTCTTTATGTCTCTTTATGAGCCGTATTTGGTATCATTAGAAAGAGAATTTCATGAATGTTATTGTAAACCACTCTCTTTTTTCCCATGATAATCCTATCGAAACACGTGATGTAAAATAGATTTATAGGACAAAATGGCGTCTTAAATAGCCACATTGACCAATTTAAAAAATCCGGCCATGAGGTGCCCTGCGTATTGGAACTCGGCATGTCACTGCAAATTTTCAAGGAAAAAAAAGGACGTTTAAGGGGCGAAAAGCAGTCTGAAAAAATGACGTCATAGCCGATACGTGTTAGATTCGGGCGGAAACTCGGCGGAATTCGTGTAGTGATCTTTGTTCAAATGCGATTTATTCACAATTTTCTGTGTGAACATATACTATACTTGGTATCATTCGAAAGGGCACTTCATTGCGGTCAGTTTGACACCATTGTTATCTTCGCGCAATGTATTGCACGCATTTAACGCGCTATCACGCAATGCATAGTAAATACATCATTTTTTGAGATAACTTTGCGCTGACATAATCAAATTTTACCAAACTTTGCGGACAGTTGTCACGTATATAAATACATGTGTGTGCCAAGTTTTATTGACGTAGGTCAAAGGATCGTAATTTTAGAGCAAGTTGAAGTTATTTTGGAATTTTCTTGAAAATGGCGAATTTGGAGGGCAATTTTCTCAAATTTGGTCAGTGATAGGGTACATAATTTTGTATATGGCTGGAAAGGGCATATCTTCAAGTATCTAAATCCAAAAAAGGGTACGGGTTTGCCAAGCCATTATGGAGATACGGCCACAGAGAGAAAGCCAATTCCCAGAACTTTAGAGGGCGCTATTTATGTTGTGCAAAGTCATTGGAGCGTGAAATTTGGCATGGCTATGTGCAATTATGAGATAAGGATACTGTGAGATTTAAATACAAAACGGAATTTATATGAGAAAGTTATGGCAGTTTTAGATTATTTAGGTGTCAATTTTTCAAGAATTTGAGAGATAGTTGACGGAGTCGGTTTCAGATTTGAATTTTGAGTATGAAGATGGCATTTTGAAGGGCAGGTTATACGTCGCAGATAAAAGAACATCTCTTAGACTATCTAGAGGAATTTGTTAGAAATGTGTAGGATCTAGGATAGTGGAGATAGGAAGGAAGAAAGAAAGGCCTTAAAATGGACCAGAAACGGACAAAATGGCGCCTGGACGGTTATGCATGAGTGATTTCGAAAATCGAAGAATGTAGTGACCTTGAAGGGATGTTAGAGACTATGCCTATGAAATGTGAAAGGAAAAGGACATGAGAAAAGCACCTAACTAGGAATAACAAACATTACGTGCAAAACGAATGCGATTTCCTGACGATAAGGAAAAGGAAAAGGAGGAAAAGGAGAATATTAATGGGGCAGAATGTGAACGAAAACAAGGCAATGACGAAGGTCGTCATTGCAACAACCAGTTGTCGAATTTCATATTTCTGTCTTGCTTGTCAGACATTTTGTCTCACATGTACACATTGATCTTACCACCAGTGGCGTAATGAGTGGAGCCAATAAGCGGCCAATAAGACTTTGGATAGGCCTAAGCATGGTACCGTGAGAATAACAAAGGCAAATACTTCTTCGTATTATTATTATTATTATTCTTTGATCTTTGAATTACCGACAAAATTAAATGTCCCAATATCTACAAATTTAACCTTATCTATAGTATACTTGCGTATGCGCAAATGGTCATTTTCCTCGACGATATAAAATAATATACGAATTATTTCGTCAACTTAGTCAGCATCATAGCTATATAAGCAGGCGCGGAGCGAGGATCTTTTTAGGGAGGGGCGCGGTAGTGAGCAAGCGAATCACTTGGGAATGGGTAATAGGCCTCCCGCGCGAAGCGCGAAGCTTAGACGTTTCCTTGAATTATTAGGAAAAGAAGACGATTCGTTGTACCGTTCTCGACTCGTCTAAATGAAATCCCCCCCCCCCCCCCCGGTGCGAAATTTTGGGCGTTTCATCAAAATATATAGAGAAAAGAAGACGATTCGTCGTACCGTTGTTGACTCTTAATCCTTTGTTCTTTGAATTTAGTTTTCCTGAAAACTTTAACACTCTGAATTCTTTAGCTGATATTATAGAAAAGTGAAACTTCGAGAAAATACAAGTATTGTAGTCGTAGTCACTCTCGAAGTCGTCACAGTTCATTGGGGAAAAAAAACTTGTCGGCCAACGGATAATATACATCTCACCGACTTCAAACCTCTGCATTGATATAGTACTCGAGGATCGAGCAAGAATACCGACACAGCTGACCCGACACAGTATTTACCCGTGTCTTTCTCGCTCCCTCGACGAGGCGACTCCACCCAACAACCCCTCTCTCTTTTACTCCCACTCCTCCTCTCTCAGACTCTTACCAGGGGTACCTCCCCTCTCTCTCCTCTCTTTTACCCCCCGTTTCTTTTGTTTCCCGCTTTTCTTTTGTTTCTTTTGTTATCCTTTTGTTTCTTTTCTTTTTTCCCTTTCTTTCCTCTCCTCTCTCTTTTTTTCCTATTCTTTCTTTCTTCTCTTTCTTTCCTTTCTTTTCCTTTCTTTCCTTTCTTTTCCTTTTCTTTTTTTTCCCCCTTTCCCCTTCTTATTTTCCCTCCCGCCCCTTTTCTCTTTTTTCCCGACGGCAGCGCAATTTTACCGACAGTATCCTGACAGGTGGGGGGGGGGGGGTGTCGCACCCCCACACCTCCTTTGGAGACGCCCCTGCTAGCACCTGCCCATCTGCTTTGAAAAGAAAAAGAAGAAGAAAAAAAGGAGTATCAACCGAAATTAAAGGTGGAAATAATTACCCCAAAAAAGAAGAATGAAGAGAAAGAAAAAGATCGAAGAAGCTAGAAGACCGAAAAGGGTGGAAAAGATTACACAAAGAAGAAAAAGTAGAAGTAGAAGACGAGAAGAGGAAACAAGAATACGAATACAACAAAGGAGGAGGAGTAGGGGGTGGCCGGGATGATTACTAAAACAAAAATAAATTTGTGAAATAAAGAATGAGCAATTATTTAGCACTTCTGTATAGCACTCGAAACGCACGTACGTTTTAGGCAAATTGGTTATCACGCACATCCTCAACGTGTGCGAACACATCAGGAGCAAAAAGCTGACTGCTACAGCATCATTTATCCGTAAACACACGCAAGGAGGGAGGATTGATAACTGGCATTTGCTGAACAAATCCCTGAGTTGGACAGATATTGACATTAGGTAAGAGAACATTTATATCAATTAGAGTAATGTGTAGAATGTATCCTGTATGTATGATCAAACAGCAGCTGGTTCGCATTTATTCGCCTCTAGCTCAAGTAGTTAGCGCTACATGCAGTTTTCGTGCGGCACTCCCTTGGGCGCGATTCGCTGTACTGTATACTGTACTAGCACAGGTAAGGGCTTAGGCTCATCATATTACGTTC